AACCACCCGTATGAAACAACTCTGTTGTTGTGTAGCAAAGATCACTGAGCTGCCATTAGCCGATCCATATCACGTGCACACATCAAGGACTACTGATTAGATACCAGATACTGAGCAGTGGCCAGTGAGTGATGTATCTGGTATTGGTAACCCGGAAGATGCACATCCGCTGTAAGTGTAAACACTGTGTCTTTAATATATAAGGACACGTTCATTTGAGTTTGAGGATATTGGTAAATATAAGTGACCCTATTAAAAGGCACAGTGTAGTTGACTTTGTCACACTATGAAATTACACAAACCCTGGATGGTTAGGATAATCGTCTCATCCTCTAGGCTAACTTTGTCACATAACGATATCTTAATCAGGTGATAAGATATCGCTCAAATACGGCCGGCACGGAAATGGTTACATTGTCACACTATAAACATGTGACAGAGTAAATATGGACCCCTTGCTGCCGTTTTCGACCAAAATTTTGAGTGTCCAGTTGATTGGATGTGTACATATGACCATTACCTACATATTTGACGACTTTTTTCGTTAGATGGTGCACTCAGGTTTACTCTGTCACACATTTAAGAAAATATGTGAACAATGTTTAGGGAACCCTGATAAGCAATGCTGAGTAGTGTAGGTTTAGTTAATGGTCTGGAAGTGCTAGGAATTGTTATTATATCATATAGTCGCAAGGAATTAAAACACAGAAGGCACAGACAAGTTTACTTTGTCACATAATCTTGATGATATCTGAACATGTGTGAAATTGAACAAATAATGATATACCAGCTTAAACCCTTTGTATTACGTACTATGGATCAAACAACACTGCTAGTACCATGCACCAGTCACATAAATCATTAACGTGTGGTAATATGTTAACAGTGTCACAATTAAACTACCACAACATGGTCAAAAATAGGGTAATTTCGTCACAAAAAAATTATTATAACTCTGTCAGCTCCTTGCTGGCAAAATAACTAGTTAGTTTATCGACATTTTTTTGATGATAAAATTACATAGTATTCTAATAGAGGTATAGATCTTCAAAATAGGGGCAAGACATGTTTACTTTGTCACATCAGTTATTATTACAGTTAGGTAATCGTCATCACATTAACATATATTTTTTTGTAGTTTGGATTGATTTATTTAGGTAATAAGCAGGTGATAAGGCAGCCTATGCTAATTTTTACACACTATCTTGAAATTTTTGGGGCAGGAAAAGTTAATTTTGTCACATTTTTAGTGACTTTGACAAATTTAACCTAAAATTGTTAAACTTGAGCTCTGATGTTCTGGACAATATTCTACCAATTTTTTCTGAAAGAATGTTAAATTCTAATAGAGTTATAGAATATATAGATCTTCAAAATAGGGGCAAGACATGTTTACTTTGTCACATCAGTTATTATAAGAGTTATTACTTATTATAAGAGACTATTTCATTATATAATCATTGTTACGATTTCGTATAATTTTTTGTGACAATGTAAACATCAACTGATCTTAACTTGCATCAACTACATTGTCATCATGTAAAGTTTTCCCGCCTTTCAAACCAAAATCAGATATAAATAATTCGCCCAAAATTTTAAATTCCATATATTGTGACAGAATTAACCTCATTGTGCCTGTATTAGCTTACTATTCAAAGCAACATATTTTAGGGCTATGATTGGTACTCCGTACTTGGTAGATCAACCATCAAATAATGAGTAAAAAGGGTTTTGAGGACACCTCACAGTAGAATAGAGGTATGGTATTCTGAGTGTGACAAAGTTACCTAAATATTGCCTTGTAACCGTTCGATCCGTGCCCTTTAACCAATGTTGTATCATAATTGTTAGATTGACCTAATCTACTATGTTTCAGACCAAGGAATGATAATTAGACAACTGCAGTTAAATAAGTCACACAAAATGTGACATTTGAACCATTATAGTGCCTAACAACAATAGATTTTCTTTCTGAGCAGTGCATATGGGAGTATGGGTTACGCGGCTAATGTTCAGAACTTCTGAACGTGCTAGGTTAATAGATGTCAAAATTAAGCCACTATCGTCAAAAACGCTATTATTTTTGTTTACCAATATCCTCAAACTCAAATGAACGTGTCCATAAACATTTATATAAAATATGGTAATCGTACTGTAGTGCGACACGTACTCTAGTGCGACACGTACTCTAGTGCGAAGCCAGACAAAAATACCCTCTATCGCACTACAGTGCGTGTCGCACTACGATCCAGGTTGAGGTAGCGTACTTTAGTGCGACAAAATATCCTGACTTATTTCCAAGTTCAGGTCACATCCTATCCTTTTTATGGATTTGTCGGGTCGGTTCACGTCACTTATTTTGAAGTGATCTTGCGAATACGATTCGTCGGTTTACATCGATCACGTGTTTCGAAGTGATCCACTGATCATAATTCCTTCGGGTCAGTTCAAGCCACGTATGCAGTGTGTGATCCACCGGGTAACTCGTAAGCAGCATATGATCCTCTTTCCTATTACACGCATCGTATATCTCCGATTGGGATAACAAGTTCATATGCTCGAACAACATCAAAATGTCTTCTTCAATCATCTTCATTTCTGGACGCACTACTGGTTCAAGAAACTTGATCGTCCTGACGATACAGGGGGAGCCGCGCACTTCGTGCACGGCGGGTCATACAACGTATGACAAATCCACGACGGATACCGATACTGCCTGGATAAGAAGCGCGACGACAAGACCTATACTGGCGATGCACTGAATTCCCCTTGCATTCGGCTTACTCCCCGGAAAGACACTGGCTCATTATGAAGCCCTTTTGGATGAGCTCCTTGCATTTGTAGTCGACCCTCAATCTGTCATGAGTGACTGCGAGAGAGCCCTGATAAACGCTGTGGAGACAACCTGGCCCACTACCACCAAGAGAGGATGCTTCTTCCACCACAAGCAAGCATTTTGGAGGAAGATGCAGCAATGCATGACATAGTCCCGGAATACAACGCAGAGAACTCATCAGTACGGAAGTACTTTCAGATGACACTCTTGTCATTAAAACTTTAAAATGTCGCACTTTAGTTCGTGTCGCACTACAGTCCAAGTAGCGCACTGTAGTGCGACAGTGTCGGCCTTGAAAATTCTCTGTCGCACTAGGGTACGTGTCGCACTACGATCCAGGTAGCGTACTCTAGTGCGACAGTGTCGATCTTGGAGGTTCCGCACTAGAGTACGTGTCGCACTAGAAGTAGAGTACGTGAACCCATCTGCTCGCGAGCTGTATAATCAGCCCTAACGCGGGCACAAAAATAAAGTGAAACTCTTATCCAGTCCCCGGGCTATATCATTATCGCTACTGGTCAAGTTTCATGCGGGCTATATCAGCGGGCTGAGAAATATCACGCCCTTAAACTAGCGGGCCCGCTGGAGCAAATATAGTCCGCTGGATATATATTTTATGGTTCACGTACTGTAGTGGATAAGAGTTTCACTTTATTTTTGTGCCCGCGGTAGGGCTGATTATACAGCTCGCGAGCAGATGACATGAAACCTGAACAGTATTGTTGATCCACACTACACTTTAATAATTCCCACGGCAATATAGTATTAGTAGTACAAAGAACGTATCAGCTCTGAGCTCACCTCCTATCCCCTATGGATATATCACGCAGCTGGCGCATGATTGGCTTTACTGGGCGGCGCTCAGCCTGTCCACTGTCATTCCGCCGAATCTTTATATGTTTATGAATTATATTACATATTATGTTTATGAACATAATAGCCGGGGGTCCCCAGGTAAGATTGGCTCATATTGAACACGTGACATACTGTTACTATGGTTACAAAATTCGTGGCGACTTAAAGTCTGAGTCTCTAATCTCTATTAGTATTGATAAATGTTCACCATTTCTATAATTGCTCACTATAAAGTAATAGTATGAAATCTGGCCTCAAAGGACTTACTCTTGGTAAAATTCATCGTAAAAAAGGGCCAAAAAGCTTGATAAGACGAATCTTTAAAAAACTGATACTTTTTGAGTTATAGGCAAGTCCTTTGAGGCCAGATTTCATACCTTAAAGCTCGAAATCGAGATATCCTATCCCAAAAAGTTGGATAATGGATATGATCATCAGCTACACTCACAAGAATTTTTGAAGCGATATCTTATGGCCTGGGTGATTGGTAAAATATACAACTTTGATAGTATGTAGTAGGCAACAATTTCAATTTTGCTTGTCTCGACCTTGTTTGGTCTGTAACTTCTTCATCTATTGTTTAATTATAAAATCCTTTAGAGGGCTTCTTGTACGGATTGTAAATAATGTTCAGTAAAAAAATCAGCCAAAAAACTTTTAAAATGACTGAAATATCGGTATTACAGTGACAGACTTCTCAAAATTGAAAAAACTTTCCAAAAATTATTTTTTTCTCGAAAGCGTACTCTCAAAAAATTTTTTCAATGTATAAAATCTTATTGTTTTATCTATAACATACTTTCATAATATGAAGTCATTTATGATATTGGTGGGATGGAGCAGATAGTCACCAGAACAGCCTCTAAATAAGTCGAAAAAGGGGAACGCCCTTTACATGTTACATGTACTACAGTGACAAATGCAGCAGACACAACACAGTTATACTATTGGACACGATATAGTTTCATCATCTGAAAAGCTTGCGCCAGTCAAGTGTGATCATTACACAATAGCTATGTGAAGTGGCAGGACAGGCCTAGAGAGACCGAGATCTGGCTTATGATATGTGTGGACGGTCCATAAAATTATATTGACCTTAATATTATGTCACAATTTGTTGGGTTTGAATCGGTCTTGAATTGCTTCGGAGTTTCTTCAAATCGAATTTGTATTATTTGAAAGTGTTTACGCGCGCATATTTTAGGTCGTTTGTATAGAGAAATATGAAACGCGCAAGCGCCAAGGTTTGTTTGAAAGCGGGAATTTACAATCCTAACGGTTCTTAACCATGGACTAAACAGTACGGTAGGAAAACATTAGTAATTGGAAAGTTAATGTTATCTAACAATACAAATATATTTATTAAAATACAATGTCAAGCTATTGATAAGTATTTTAAATTTGGATAAAAATGTACAAGGAAATGCCTTCATATTCTGAAATTAAATTCGGCAGATTCATACATCAAATATGTACAATTTTCTAGGGCACGTAAAATCGTATTAAATGCAGCATGAGCACTCGGTTAAAAATTCTTTGTAAGATTGAGGTGTAACTTACAGCCAACTAAAAACCATTCACTTCTTTACAGTGTTCGGCACACACTTACGAGACACTACTTTCGGTTTAACCAACTGGCTGGCCGCACCAGTCTTACCCGCCGAGGGGTTGGGAGGTTTACCTTCCTGTTTTAATCTAGGAGCAGATCTAGCTCTCGGTGTCATTTTCCTGGGGGCGGTACTGGTTGGTCTGGGTAACCTGCCTGTGGGACCGGGGGACACAGCACGAGCATTGATAGTAACTGGTTTAGGGAAGGGTGAAACCAGTGCATTCCTCTTGATCACGTGGGACGGTGCTGGTATCATGGACATCTTACGCTTTAAAGCTGCTTTAGCGGGAACAACAGAGGATAGAACTTTAGGCTCGTCCAGAGTGAAAGTGCTGTTTAAATCCCCTTCCTCTGTTGAACTATTAGTTTTAACAGAATCATCTGATTTATCAGCAGAACATTTCTGACTTCTGTCCTTGAGTTTCAGTATGGGCTTTTGTCCTTTCTTTGTGATTGTGTTGAACCTATCGATAAGGTTAAGTTTGGCTTGATCCTCTAGGTCAGTAAACCTGGCGTTAAAGCAAGCCTGCAGTTTAGAAGGAGCCGGTGTAGCGAACGCCTCGCCTCGAACATGAGCTGCCTGTAACTTGTTGAGCTGGGGAGTTGAACCCACCAGGGTCTTTCCCGGGGTGAAGGACAAGGTGGGGGATTGGGGCTGAACAAGTTTTGGAGAGGGGAATAGGTTGGAGGTGGGATGATCTGATGCCGTTTTATCGTCCGCCCAAACTACTCCGTTTCGTTTCTTTTGGCTCTCTATCAATTTCATGCACAATCCTGTGGAATATAACAGTTTCATTTAAAAAGGTTTTCAGCAAAAAGATAACGATAAAAATACATTTCTTAACAATTTAATAACACTACTATCAGTATTTGATGTTAATTTCGATTGAAGACGTGATGGTTTGAATCCCAAAACAATGTAAACCACGCATCCAAACTTACAAGATCATATCAAACATTCCATTTTAAAAACACCAAAAAACATCCTTACCTCCGAGTTGTGCTTTGAGACAGTCTGGAACGTTCTCATCAGAGGCCACAATACTGAATATCTCCTCTGTGATGTTATTCATGTGTTGGAGCTGTCTCTCTGATCCTATAACTGCCTCTTGTAGAGCTGACACGCTGTGCTCAGCAAAGTAGGACTGCACCTGACATTGTACAAGGCTACAAACTAGTGGTGGTGGTGGATCAACAATAAGATTCTCCAGGTGATGTCTTAAAATCTAGGGTTTGTTTCAAAATGTGCACCAATAAGTAAAGTGCAGCTGCACTTGGGCATGTAAGTAACTTAGTAAATCCGGGTTTTATCATACCTTAACGAGATGGAATTCCCAAAGCTGGACGAGGATTTCTGGACCGAGTGGTTTAGGGATGCTAGCAGAGTTATTTTGGATGTACTCATGAATCTCCCTTTGGACCTTGTTGGCGCGCTCCATGTTCGTCACCAAGAACGACTTTTTAGTGCTGATCTTCTGATTGGTAGAAACTTGGCTCTCCGATAACAAGCTCAACTCATCCTGTGGTTAAATTAATAGTTTTTACTTCACCTGGCATGTTTTAAGATGTTTTTTCCAGAGTTATTCCTGATTATATCAACAAACGGTGTAACAGAGTCGATATATTTTAATGTTGCCATGGGGTGGCAAGTCCCAATACATCGTGGTCCGATAGTTTCATTACGTCTTAATATTAACAGAGTTAAATCACTTGAGTCTTGAATCACCATATTATTATAATATCCTAAAACTCATAATCACAGTTCAACAACCACAACCAACCTGAACTAGGGAGAGTAAGTGAGGCTCGGAATGACAGGAGCTGATAACCCGGATGTACAGTTCGTTCTGTTTAATCTGGGTGGCCAGGTTGTGCTCCTCCGCTTCCAGGACAGTCAGCTCCCTCTTTAGTTGAGCCCTCTCTTGGAAAACCTGGGCAATTAATTAGTGTTAATTAGTGTTAATTAAGAACAAATAATATCATGCCTCATGGCCTTAATATTTAAAGGAACTCACGGTTTTTTGTGGGGCAGTGACCGAGAGTGGCATTTTTCCCACGGTTTGTCGAATAATGTCATATATTGTCATTCCCTGTCATAAATTGTCATTCCCTGTCATTTCCTGTCAAAAATTGTCATTCCCTATCAAATCTAGTCGTATATTGTCAATTCCCTGTCAAAAATTGTCATTCCCTGTCAAATCTTGTCGTTTATTGTCAATTCCCTGTAAAAAATTGTCATTCCCTGTCAAATCTTGTCGTATATTGTCAATTCCCTGTCAAATCTTGTCGTATATTGGCACATATTGTCACATATTGTCGTAAACTTGTCATGACATTGGGCACTCTTGGTCACTGCCCTTTGTGGCCTGGAATTTTTCCGACTTTAATAATTTAAAATTAAATTGGTTGTAAAACATACACTAAAAAGAAATCCCCCTTTCCTTCATAGCTATACAATATAATTCTATACTGGGTATATTTTACCTCACGACACTTCATATCAAAGTCCTTATGAGCAAGGTCAAATTCCTCTAGCATCTTCAACTTCTCGGCTGTTTCATTCTTCTCCAGGAGTTTCGCTTTCAGGGTAGAAATCTGGGAATTGATTTGCGTCATAATATTATATAATAATATTGTCAGTAATGCGGTTAGATAATTTGATTTTTCGGAGATAAAATGTTTATCTCCGTTTTATCTAACGCATATTACTAAAAAAATATTATTACAACCGGCAACTGGTCTCGTGGCGATGATAAGAAATTAAAATAGGAGCAAAAAAACAGACCATAAATGATAAAATCACGGGAAGTAAATGATTCCCCGAGATTTAGCTGAAGAAGCGAATGTGTGGTTACTGGTTAATGGTGGTGCTAGTGGGCGGGATTCGGGAATGGGAAGGGACAAAGAGGGGCTGTATCGGTCAGGTTAACTGGCAACTGGTAACTTATACTGGCAACTAGTGAACTGGTAACAGGTAACTTATACTGGCAACTAGTGAACTGGTAATAGGTTACTTACACTGGCAACTAGAGAACTGGTAACTTACACTGGCAACCAGAGAACTGGTAACAGGTAACTCGTAATTGGTTACTCACCTCATCTTTAAGATCAGCGACAAGCTTGCTATATTCGCCAAAGTGAGTCTCCACCTGGACTTCATTCTTCACGAGTTCAACCTTAATGTTCTTAGCTGGAAATAAGGATCAATTAAACAATCACTAATCACTTAAATAATCACTTAACGTATCGTTAACTTAATTACTTAATTACGAGACAACAAGGGATATGATCAGTGTTCATAGGGAGTGTTTATCTCATGATGTGTACAGTGTTACAGTGTTACAGTGTATCTCATGTTTTGATTATAACTAATTAAACGAGTTTATTTTCTGTAGTCGACTAAGCGAGAACCAATATTAGAACAAATATTAGGATTAAATGAAAACGGAATATTTTATTATAAGCATGTTCAGTACCTCTGTTGGCGTATTTGAGGGTGTTGTAGGTATCCTCGTAGCTCTTGTTACTCGGACTTAGGTTGGCTATCATGATAGTCTGACACGAGCCTCCCAGAGAGTCTTTTAACAACCTGGCCCAACAGTTTGTGAGTGTTGTTTTAAGGCGACATTTTTCAGTTTAATATTGCCCACAACAAGCTCATTTTCGATTCCGATTTGAACCAAATTCATAGCATATGCATAGTTTGTTAACCTAGAACGATAATTTTAACAAAATTTCGTATTAAATATAATCAGCACTTTTCAAACATAAGGAACAAAAACTAACTATTCAATTTGTTTTTCTGTACAAGACCCTAAACTCATAGACATAATAACAATCAGTTGTCTTACCTTGTAAGCTTAGACCCTAAACTAATAGACATAATAACAATCAGTTGTCTTACCTTGTAAGCTTACTGTCCCTATAAGGGATGAATATCTTGGGATTCTTCTTTCTCTCAGCTAGGGCGTTAATCACGTTGCCCAGCGCTAACAGGGACCTGTTAATGTTAGCACCCTCCCTCTGCTGCTTGTTAGTCGTGGTCACGTTCCCCCTCTCCGACCCGGCCAGGTCTATCAGACTAAACTTTGAGTGTTTCCAGGTAGCTGTAGTCCCCGATACCTTGTGTCGGCCCCGTATGTATATCTGGAATATAGCGTGGGAACGTGAGGACTCAGCATTAGCAGCGGTGCAGCTCTGGGTACGCTCAGTGTTGCCACGCAGCAACATGTCCAGCAGGTCGTCTGCGTTCTTGGGCCGGTGCATGCTGACGCCCCGCAGGGTGATCTTACCGTCGGAGCCCTCGTTCATAACTAGTTTCCTGCCTGAAACACGGGAAATGTCAGATGAGAGTGGCAACGTTATGTCATGTTCGAAACATGAATTAAAAATTTTGATTACTCTTATAAATTGAGCACTTTATATTGCAGTCGAGGGACAAATTGACAAACTTATTAACCGTCTTTAGGTCCTTGGATTTTTGAATAGCTTTTACTAGAGTGAAGTGGGTTGACAGTTGCGGGGCGAAAAATAGTTTTTGTGATGAACACTTTATACTTGGCTGTCAAATTTGATTATAATAAAACATTTTTTCGGAAAATGTTGCTGACTCTCTGTTGCAGATGGCAATCAATAAGAATGAGTTCCAAACAGGGGTAGAAGGTCTCAAGAGTGAAGTGTCAAAGCAATGTGGAAAGTTTGGAGATTGAGTTTAAGACGACAATAGACGACTTGACGGTGAAAGTTGAGTATTGAGTATTGAGGGGTCCTATTGCGCCCTACGAAGTGGGAAGATTGCCCAGAGGGATTCACAAGATATCAGGGATGGACCACGGCTATTTAAACATTCCAGAATGCAGGAGGGTACAAACAAGCGGTGACATTTAGGGACAGCAAAATAATCGCTGTTCATACGATACTACCGGCTGGAACACTGATATCATACATACATATTAACGTCGTGTTGTAAGTAGAACTCAAAGCCAGAGCAGAGTTCATATATCATTAAGTCTGTTCATTCCTTTTTTTTAATGGTATTTGGTAACGGAAAATATTTTAAGGACAATGAGACACGCCAAAACTGACCGTATTTAAATTTTTAGATTTGAATATGATTATAAATCAAGAGGCTTGCATGTAATGAACATATTGAAATGGGTGCAGAGTTGAGTCTGTACGGAACCTAATAGTTTCACTTCCTTGTTTAACTTGCCGTACAGCAAGGACATCGACTACTTTAGCCCGGCGAGGCACATAACTCACTCTACAACTCCATGTCAAATGTTTAATATATACTAGCCAAGTTCACAAGATATATTCTTGTGTTTGAGAAGAGCTCGTTAGAACTGCTTCCTTTCCCTTATGTTATAAATATAACATAATATTGAGATTCAAATCTAAAATATTGTATGTACCATTGCATGTAGTATGTATTCTAAATTGCATTTGATCTAAATTGCTTTGAAACTATAAATTATGACGAATTAAGCCGAACAAATCCTGAAAACCAATGTTATTGTAATATAGTATACTGATTCTGTATCACTGATTCTGTATCTCTGATCTCACTCTACAACTCTTGTTCTTCGTTTCAAAAAATATTGTTACCGACCCCAGATTAAATGCTGCCCCTGGTCGAAATTAGCTTGGGTGACAAAGTTAGATAACACACGCCGTCGTGACAACCTGGGGCGTGGCAGGATAAATATACCAAATGTGATAGCGAGCTCGAGGAAGGTGGAGGATACTGACTGTCGAACTAAATTAGGTATGTTCGTACGTAGATGAGATAAAATCACCCCGATTATCTTATCTACAAATTTCTCAACTTTCTTGGCTTCGCGACTTGATTTAATATTTAAGAGGTGCACCACACAAACAAATTCATTTACAGCACATCCCACATTTGTTTTGTCTCTTAAGATTTTGAGCCATGGTTTTCAGTTATGGAGCGTTCTGTTGTGTCGCACTTTTGTTATGCGGAGGACTTCAAGCAAAAGGAACACCTCTGGTCCTGATGAATCGGTAAATTTGTTATGTTTTCTTGCTTTTACTAAGCTATTTTAATATTCCTACTTCATAATTATAATTAGAAATCCTAATTAGTGGCGCAGCATGTATCATATTGTATAATGGCATTATAGGCATTTGAAGCGTATCGTTTTAAATTACAATACAGTAGTAAAATACTGACCGGTAAATATCAGTATTTTTCTTATCATGTAAGAGACAAAATCAAGCTTTTTCAGGGACATGCTCTGCCAGTAGACGATTTGAGGGACCTTCTGCTTGCATCAATGCAAAACACAATCTCCTTGACAGAACTGGCAACCCAACAAGCTACCAAAGTCAGTGCCATTACAACTTCACTTATTGAAGCTAGAAATGGAATCGATCAGCTCAAAAGCAAGATCGACAAGCTAGAGGAGGAACAAAACAAGAACTTGAGTGGAACTACATCGGAAATTGAGGGACTAAAGAGCAATCTTTCTGCTAAGATCGATGCTTTAGAAGAGGGACAGATCGAACAAAACGAGAACTTGAGTGGAACTACATCGAAATTGAGGGACTAAAGAGCGATCTTTCTGCTAAGATTGACAAGCTAGAAGAGGGACAGATCGAACAAAACGAGAACTTAAGTGGAACTACATCGGAAATTGAGGAATTAAAGAGCAATATTTCTGCTAAGATCGACGCTTTAGAAGAGGGACAGATCGAACAAAACGAGAACTTGAGTGGAACTACATCGGAAATTGAGGGACTAAAGAGCGATCTTTCTGCTAAGATCGATGCTTTGAAAGAGGGACAGAGCGAACTGACAGCTCAAATTGGAGATGTATCTTGGCCAAAAGGATCCTATTGCATTTTGGCAAGCGGTTCCTGTCCTGCAGGCTTTACAAGGTACTCCGGCCACATCAGAGCATTTAATACCTACGACCATACTCCTACTTACATTAAAGTTGCTGCTTTTGGAGACAGCTACATGAGATGTCATGGACCCTGTGGCCGACATACAAGCTGGGATGCAGAATTTGGCATTACATCATGCTGTAAATAGATATAATATTTGAAGTATTTATAAGGACCTAACGGCTAACAGTAACAGTTAAGAAAATTTGTTCAGAACAATGGACTAAGTAAAAGTAAAATAGTGCGACTTTGTCAATTTGTTATTTTATTTTATTCTGTGATACCTAATAAAAGTCTCATTTTCTGTCTTATAATACCTGATGAATATTGTACCATATCGACACATCGTTGAACTTTAGAAACCAATCAATTAATTGGTTATTCGCTGTCAAAATATTATATGGTTCACCTCCCAACCAGTGCAAGTGCAGTATCTAGATCTCTAATATGGTTGGTTAACCTCCCTACCAGTATATATCAATATCTATAATGTCTCACCAGGGCTGAGCAAATCCTTCATGTTCTCATTGTAAATCTCAACGTAACTGACGTCCACATCGTACTTGTAGTCGTCACTCAGAGCCTCTATCTTTGTGTACAACATCATAACCTGTGTTAGAATGTAGGTTACAGGTGGAGGTGATCGGTGGAGGTGATTAATGGAGGTACAGGTGATTGGTTGTGAAACTCAGTAATATCTTCCACTTATCCTCCTACTTTCTGGGACAACTTAGTGAAGCAGGGTTCCACAGTGGCGTGAAATCATTAAGCTATCTATGGCTTATCGTTACAAGTCTTACAACTTACAACACAATTACATCAAATTATAATTGGATAAAACTAAATTGTATCCTCTAAATTTACACTTACAGTTTTGTAGATCACCCCTGGGTTCTCTTTGTTGCCGAGCATTGTAAATGTTTTGCCCGCTCCTGTGGCACCGTACGCAAACACACAACAGTTGAACCTGGGGAGAGAAAATTTGTTGTCTTGTATTGTAATTTTATCCCATGTTCAGAAATTCAGGCTGTAAAAACCAACAGTACGCTATAAGTAACTTTATGGGACTTGATTGAAGGAGAATAAATTCAGTTTCAAAGCATCCTTCAAAATAAAACATTGTAAAAAGATCACTGTAATTTCTGTCAATATATCGTGTCGTGTCCTTTTAAACGACAATAATTGAATTATTAAAAAGAAAGTTTGAAACAAGTGAACTACAACAGAGTATCATTTGTCATGTTGATTGTTGTGAAACAAATAATGAACGAATGAATTTTAATAATAAACAATAAAGTAAAAGGCACGGAATTCCTGCATGAACAAATCAGTGATCAAACTATCCGTACCCATTCAAGACATCATCTAAGATGGTAGCGGTGGTACAGCGGTACACATCGAGCTGAGACGACTCTGGACCAAACACGTTATCGAACGAAAACTTGAGATCTTTGTTTCTTTGCGATGTGAAAATCTTCTTTAATCCAGTGTTCTGGTCGTCAGGTGGATCAAACACAACAACTTTATCACCGATAGCTTTCACTATCTCTCTGAACTTAGAGCCTGAAATAGGTTGGGTTACTTGTGATTTATAGGTTTAGAGGGTTTGCTTGTTAAAAATAAAGTATGCGCTACTACACACAGCACACTACACACGTCCGATTATACGGAATTGTGTATTATTATCATATATTATATAAAACATATTATAACACAAATCAGTTCTGGTATTAATTGTGATTCGTGATGTTAATATTAGTAATTTAAAGTAGCCACGATTTGGCTGAAATGAATATACTTTCATAAGGCATTCAACATGTTTTTTAAATCTAACTTACTTCGTTCGTTCCCTTGCTCGGGTCTTATTCGAATGCAAATCTTGATGTTTGATGGGGCCATTATAATTTCCCTGCAATGAAATAGCTAGTTTCAGATCGATAAATTAAGTATAATACATACAATTTTATAATGAACCAAATTCAAAATCATTTTGTCATTTCAAGGATCATTGTAGTTTCCGTCATCACCCCAAGACGCTATGTAAACTTTCTCTAAAAAATAAGTACCTCAAAGTTCTAACAGTTACATCCTCAAAAAGGGCACAAAGTACAAACTTGGGCACAATTTCCGGGGTAGAACAAGGGTCACAAAATTTATCTCAGTGAACATATTTAATGCTCTGTTAAACTCAATAAATCAATAGATAAGGCTACTAGATTATGTACAGCACAGATTATCATATTTGAATCAAGTGGATAAAATAGTAGTAACACATTAATGTTACAATGAGAAAAATAAAGATTCAAATTCAAATTAAGTACTAAACAAAACATAGACAAAAAGCACAACTTCTTCAAATCACAAAATTTAATCTCCCCAATTCAATATATAGCAATGCTATATTAGCATGTATCATTAATCATCACATTTTACTGCAATCTTATCTTAGAGAACAAAACAAGACATCGGGATTTAAAAGAACTCAAATTTACAACTATATTTTCAGTTCAAGTTCTGAATCATGCATTTAATCGTCTGGTTTTAAATTTCATAATCTCAAACATTCAAACGGAAAAGCCTCCCAGTCAGATTTACTTGTAATACTGTCCAATAGGTGGTATTTCTTTGTGGTATTAGCGATTGTTTTCAGTTCATACAGAGAGACCAAGTTGAACAACAGCATGGGATGGAGGGATATTTTAGATGCACCTTCAAACTGTACAATACTATCACTCAGTTTACCCAAATATAGCAGACACACAGCCCCATTAATACTGGCAACAGCATTAGTGGGATTAAGATTAACTACTCTAGCAAAGTGTTGGTATGCCTCATTATACTCTCCATGAGCGATACATTTGAATCCATTGTTCATTTCCTTTTCCTCCTCAGAGAGTTTATTCTGCACCTCAGCCAGAAGATTTTCTCCCTTATGGATGTTGCCAACTTGGTAGTACAGCCGTATGATTGCATTTGAAACTGGTACAGCCATGTCTGGTTGATCATTCTTGATTTGCATGAGTAATTTTATAGCTGGCTGGATACTTCCACTGCCTGCAAGTGCCCCAGCTACCTGTATCAGTAAACTTGTCTTGTATTTAATTACCCGTTGTTCCTGCAAGTAAGGCAGGCCAGCTAGTAATGCTTGATCCAAATGATAAACAAGACCATACATTCTATCGAGGGCACCATATAAACCTCCAGCTGAGGGACAGTGCAGAGGTAAAATAGACCACAGCAACCTCAAACTCCAGGGAACGATGGAACCCTTCTTCCCAGGATGGTCCCCGTGGTAAAACTCATAATATAGATCACAATTATCAAGATTGCCAAACATAGCCATTTCTACATCAGCAGTTGAGTATAATTTCAACTTTATCAGGAGGGTAAATCTTAAGGTCCATAGCTTGATTGTGTTGGGGCTCATTTCAGCCGAATTGAGAAGTTCAGTCAACATGTTGACAGCAGACAATAACATACCCTCTTTTACCAGTTGTTGCAGATTAGCCTCTGACACTGGTGGTAGTGGAGTTTGTAGGCGTTGAGCTGCAGCCTCACCGTGATACTTCATCATGAGCTCAATAGCAGGGCTGACAAATGCCACAGTGCTGTTTGGTCGGGCTTTAGTCAGATACTGAGGATCAAGTGCCCCATCTGTAGATTGTGAGATCAGCTGGAGAGTGTCTTGAGACGGTAACCACAATTCACTATCAATAGACAGGTCAGTCTGTTCTTCCACTTCAGTGACTTCAGGTGTTGTCTGATGCACAAAAGTGGGGTGCTGATTTACAGCACCAAAGTATGATGTTGGCGTTGTTACAGTTGGCGATGGAATGTTAGCATCTAGTACCAAAGGTTGCTTAACAGGTTGTGGCATTTCAACAACATCTGAGGATATGTCTTCTGGGACATGAATATCATCATCACAAACTGGAGGACTTTCACTCACTTTACTTATGTTATCACTGTCAGTCAAATTAATTGACTGCATTGAATATCTAGTGGCCTCAATCTCATCATTTTTAATGTCATTGTCAGCTGTGAGTTCACTACCAGCTTTGGCGATGAAGCTTATATCAATATGATCCGGATCCATAACACTCAACCCATCCTCTTTATAGTCCAATTGAGAATTTTGCTCGTCTAATGAATCAAGGGCAGATTCGTCCAAAGGCACAGGCTCTATATTTACTGTAGAATCAAGGTATACTGAAGCATTTGCTTCTTCTGCAGTTAAACTATAAAATGTACCATCCCCATCTTCTTCTGTATCACTCTGTATCAAAAAATCTGCATCTTTATCCATTATTGCGAGGAGTTTTATACCTAGAATGCATATAATAGTAGGTTAATGATGAAAATTATATGAATTAACGAAAACAACATTTTTTATAGGAAAATGATACACAATGTTTAATAAAATATGTGATATTAAAAAGATAGTAAAATATAAACAGTAACAGAGGAAGATCAACAGCCCAGTACATTAATGCTCATTAGTGTAAACCCTGTAAGATGTTACGGAAATAAATGATCCCCTGAGGACTCCCAACCCTCCACTTCGGCGGGTACCTTCTGTTATAATATATGTGTTATAAGATGATTAATTGTTATATATATATTATAGCTGATGTAATAAGGAGATAAGAAGAAGAACAACAAGAGATCCCAAGGAGAAAGGAGCAACAGAAGGTGTGTTGGAGTAGCAGGTCTGTGTAGTAGGTGTACCAGCCTGTGAAGCCCTTTGGTGATAGTTCAGGAGAACACCGGTTAGTTCTAGGTCTAGGTTTATCTTAAATATAGTTTCTTTGTTAGTTGTAGGTTTATGTATTTCTTTGTTGTATATGATTCATATTTATTGTATTATTTATGAATCATATTTCAGGTGTTTTATAGTATTGTAGTTGAGTGTGTGAAGGAGAGAAGAAATAGGTAGAAGTTAAGTTAGTAAGCGTCACGAAGATAAGAAGAGTAGAATACAAGAATCGCTTTGGTCTCCTACAAGAAAACAACAATTCTCAAGAAAACAGGTGTCTCATTTGCAATAGTATAAAAGTTGTTGGGAATTCATACACTACGCAACCTCACTAAGATAAGGTTTCTGCTGACTACAAAACAGCTTAAGACAATTGATAATAGCCTCGTTGTTTCTTGTTTGGACTACTGTAACGCCATGTTTTACGGCATCTCCAAGTACCTCATACATCAACTACAGCTTATTCAAAATGCCTGTGCAAAAGCAGTAACTGGAAAATATAAATTTGATCACCTAGGCGACGATCTTGATAAATTGCACTGGCTTAATATACCTAAAAGAGTGATTTTTAAAATATGTCTCCTATCTTTTAAGGCTATTAATGGAATAGCGCCACTGTACCTTCAAGATATGTTTAAGTATGCTCACCATGGACACACTGTTAGGCTCATAGTCCCTTATCGTTCAACCAAGGGTTTTGGTGATCGTAGTTTTAGTGTGGTTGGTCCACGAGTTTTTAATGCACTACCAGACTCAGTTAAACAATGTTATTCTGTTGAGGCGTTTAAGTCCGCACTGAAGACTTATTTGTTTACTTTATCTGACACTGAGGTAGCAAAAATGTTTTATTAATAATTTTAACCCTCTCTTTGACTTATCTAAATTATATTAGCTTTTTGGAAGTTTTATGAACGAATTTATACATAGAACTTTATTTTGCTTTTGATATATAGTTTTAAAAGTATTTTTGTAAACTAGTTGTAGTGACACTGCTGAGTAAAAGTGTACGCTTAATAGTGGTGTTTTTAAATTTCAATTTTAATTAATTAATTAAGTATTGCCTACTATAAAGTAGACATTTTTCTGAGACAATAGAGAAACTGACCTTGTCTCACTAAATTTAACCACTTTCCATAATAAAAATACTAACAAATAAAGTTTTTTAAATAATTATATACAACCACTAAAGAATATTTCCTCAAGTTTACTTCTAGTTAACTAATTCGTGGTTTAAGCTCTTATTTCATTTATGATTAAAGGAATGTAAAATAAAACTTGTTGTTTCATTGAAAACTTATTGTTTCATTGACTTAAATAGCTAAAAATTATTCAATCAAAATACACAAATAAATTCAAGGATGGTCATTGCCTAGCTACAAGGTTAGACTCGCTCAAAAATAAATGAACCAAGGCCAATACAATATATGTAATAAAACGGTACAAATTTAAAAACCAGGTTGTATTAGAAAAACCTCCGTTGCATTATGTCAGTCTGTCATATCTTCAATTTGTTTTTCTAAAGCGACTAAATTAAAAGCATTTAACCCTGACCCAAACGAGAAATTAGACCAACTTCCTTATCATTTATACGTTCATATCACGTGATTGAGAAAGTTGTTCGCCGATATCTTGCCATGAGTGAAGCATTTTAACCCTTGTATCACGTCGTGACCCCACGGTCGTTTCACTATGCTGGTACGTGCAGTGTTCCCCTGTAGAGTTTCTACGATATAGGGGGAGCCGCGCACTAGTGCGCGGCGGATCATACAATGTATGACAATTTAACCCTATGTCATGGAGGTGATTCGGAATCAGCGTCCAAAAATACATCGATTCAAGTTGGCCTTTTTAGAAAAATCTCGAAGATCGACTGTATAGTAGAGAGATTTAGCAAGCTCGACTTTGTAGCTGTCTAGATTCACACTGTACACGTGGATTTCAGGTTGACGGATGTTACTCGTCTAAATTTCTTCGAAGTAGCGCGCGCCGCTTTCTTCTCGAAATGGCAAGTGCTACGAAGTAGCGCGCGCCGGGCCAGACCATTAACAATGGTCAAATTTCAGGTTGCTGGGCTCTAGCCAGAGCCCTTGTGCTTGCAGTAGCTCGAATTAAGCACATGGTTAGGTGAAGATTTCAGGTTTACAGCTTAAATACAAAGGTGTATGCACACAATTACAAAGTGGTCCATTTCTAATTGCTGCACCCTTTAAAAAGCTTGTTATTAGATTAGGATGATGATTAATCACTCTACACTCGACTGTCACGTGACTTTTTCAACCCCTTCTCTAGCTGGTCCTGAACGACTATTCGAAAATTTAACCCTGTAATCTGATCCCAACCCTAACCCTAACCCAATCCTTAACAAAAGCATATGCTGAAACTCTAACCCTATCGAGAAATTAGACTAACTTCCTTATACGGTCATATCACGTGATCAAGACAGTTTTTCGCCAATATCTCGTCAGGGGAGCATTTTAACCCTATGTCATGGGGGGTGATTCGGAATCAGCGTCCAAAAATACATCGAAGTTGGTTTCAGCTGTCGGGGACCCTTTTAGAACAATCTCGAAGATCGACCGTAGAGTGATTTAGCACGCTCGATTAGATTATTTGGTGTGTTAAGGATTATTTTAAGAATATTTATATTCTTTCTTGGTCGAGTTGATTTTCAGACTCCAAAATGTATTATACCCTGATACTTAATTGACGATGTCAATTCATGGCAGCTCGGCGCGGCACAGTAGCGCATCTCGCCGATCTAGCCAGTGAGAAGCCTCATTGAGCTGAGCCTCATTGAGTGCGCGGCACGGCACAGTAACGCATCGCGCTACAACCCTGATACCCACTTGGTTTATGAATTTTTGTCCTTGGCCTTGATTGCTAATTTAATTGTGGATGAACAGACAATTTACGGGGCAAAAATTGTTTGGGCCTGACACTTAACGGGTGATACTCGTAAAATATTTGTTCCATATATTTTTATCTTGTAGCGCGATGCGCGTTACTGTGCCGCGCCGCGCACTTAATGAGGTTCTTATCGCTAGATCGGCGAAATGCACTATTGGAGGACTTCGCCGCTTCAACGCGCCGTGCAAACTAGCATTCTTGCTTCGCATCGATCGTAGCTTTGCTTCGCAGAGCTACGATCTCGATGGGTTGACACCGTCAATCAAAATGCGCTACTGTGCCTCGCCGGGCCGAGCTGCGATCAGCGATAAATTGACATCGTCAATTAAATTTGTATCACGTTTTGACCCCCACGGTCGTTTCACCCCCACGGTCGTTTCACCCTGTAGAGTTTCTACGAGACAGGGGGAGCCTAGCCGCGCACTCGTGCACGACGGGTCATACAACGTATGACTACCATATATTAGGACCCTCGACGAGTCTAACTCGGCGCGCGTCCTGGTAGGTTGTAAACCTACAAGCCTGACACATGACAGCTTTTCAAGGCAAGGCTCATATTTGAACCAGATAACAATTATTGATAGGTATTAAGGGTTTTGTTGACGGTTGTTGTTATGGATTGCAGCCTTGTGACAGAAAACCTTCACTACAGTCTTTAATTATGTCATGCGATTTGATATTAAGATATTAAATGCAACTTGAATAATTTATTAGAGAGCTTGCGATAAAAATTTAGAGTTTTAGCTTCTCTTTTAGCTACTCAGATGACCGAGATAAAGTAAAAATAAAAGTAAAGTTAAATTCATGACATCACATCATCATACATGTCTACAAAATATCATCGCACTGTGTGAAAAAATATATAATAAATATTTCCCGACCAACATTAATTATTTATCAAATACAATATTTACAAACAATTTTATCAAAAACATTATCCCATTTTAAAGACTTCCCAGTGGAATAAAGATTTATAAAACGCTTCTTTGCCACATAAGCAATAAGGATGGAACCAAAGATAATTGTTATGTTTCTCTTTATTACTGACATAACTGGCTCCTTCAATTCTTACTAAAACTTCATTAGAAACATTCTAAAAAAGCAATCATTTGTAATACATTTTTGATCTGTTAAGAAGTACACCCATTGCACTAAGAGGAATCAAAGGAAGATCAACGGCCCAGCATCTTGAACTGCAAGACATTTCCTTTAACCTCATCCCCCTTCACATAGCCATGTGCCTACGCGTACTGCGTGACGCGCTTGTTTCACAAGTAGATAGGTAGTCTTTGCCGCCTCCGGCGGTCGCGCGCTACTGCAAGCGAGAGGGCTCTGGTTAGAGCAATCATCCCCCCAGAAGACGAGCTTTGATATGAGGTCTCCTAGATTTGTTTATGTAAATTTTGATATTTTACTGTACTATTTTTTGTTGTATATAATTTTACGGACGAAATGATCCCAGGGGGGGGGGACTCCCAACCCACCGGGCCGCTTCGGCGGTTAGTTGACGCACCTTTCACAAGCAAGAGCCACTTTGGTCTACTTGCTGTGAGGTGTCTCAGCTACATGGGTTGGGGGTCCCCCCCTTTTTCTTTTTTTTGTAATACTTTTAGAATATTATCAAACATGTCAATCTTACAAATGTCAACAATCCTAAAATAATTTAGAACCTGAACGTGATCCTTTGTAAGATTATATGTCCCAAAAGTCAAATTGACTTGTACTCAAGTATAAAATCGAATAATTTACTCCAATAACCACGGTTACTAGCAAGTTCTCTCAAATGAAGAATATCATCATACAACTCCAGCAGGATGAAACGCTTCCAGAGGTCAACCTTCAGCTTCAGGTGGTGTAGGAGGTTACGTCTGTGAGCCCCGAGTCTACCAACTTCACTACACATCTCGACAGCAAAGCACAGAGCAGCTTGAGCTGGTGATCTTTCATCGCTCCTCAGTATGTGTCCTAGCATCTTCCACCTAGATAACTCAGCACGCTCGGACATAGGGGTAGAGTTACTCTGTTTGTATAGGGTATCTTTGGACATCATACTGCGTGGCCAGCTGACATTCATGATCTTTCTGAGGTGGTTACGGTGACATGCATCTAGTTTGTCCCAGTACGATTTAGGCATTCCCCAGCAACTAGAGTTATACATGAGGATAGATACTACTTGGGCCTTATAGACCTTCAGCTTCTTCTGTAGGGGGATCTTACTCTGGCACCAGACCTTCTTGAAGTTCTGGAATGCTACATTGGCTAACATGATTCTTCTGGTGACATCTTTCCTACTTTCTAGCAGAGAACCCAACAACTTGCTACTGCACCATTCTTCATTCATTCTAAGGGGTTTACCATCATCCATGACCTCATCTTTCCCAGCTATGTAGACGTGTACAAACTCTGTCTTTGATTCATTAATATTCAGATTCCACTCTTTGAACACCTTAGTAGCGATAGGGAGAAGGGCTTCTAGAGTATCTTTGTCTTCACCAAGATAGTCGATGTCATCAGAGTAGGCATCTTCTTCAGGCATGCCGCTAGGGTTAATAGGAGGGGTTGGGCGCAGCGTCACGGCACGCAGGTGGTAGCAGGCACCAGCTAGAGTGATTGTGAAACAGAGGCCTGAAACACTATCACCTTGGGGTCCTCCGTTGGTGCTGATGAATTCAAGGGAGGTAGCGTTGTTGACTCGCACCTTGATCTTGGTGTTGCTCAGGAGGAATCTCACTAGTCTGATCTCATCTCTTGTGCACCCTGCGTCCTCTAGGAGGTTGAGCACAGTCTGCCTACTGATAGTATCGAAGGCACTGGACATGTCTAGGCCCATACTTTCAGAAATCATATCTTTCTTAAATCCTTATAATTTAATTTTAAAACTGTCACAGAGTTCTTGACGTCCGGAGGGAGTTTGTTCCAATATGGAATAACTCGCTCCGGGAGAAAAGACTTCCGGATATTCTTGACCTTTGTCACACTTTTACTACATCTATTGGATGAAACCAGATTAAGACCTGATCCGCTTGGTCTGAACAAGTCTGAACCGTAATCAGTCAAACCATTAATTACCATAAAAGCTTCAATAAGGTCTCCACGACCTTGAAGCATAACAAGGTTATTCTACATGTGATCATGTGATTGGGTTGGTACTAAGGGAATTGTGCAGAGAGCCTAATTACTATGTCAATCACATGATTACCCAATCAATTTTGCTAACGAGATAAACAAATTGCTTGATAACTTCATCATTTTGAATCTGTATGGTGCCATCTTTTTAGATCAAATTCCGAATTTAATTACCTATTGTAATATGTTACAATGAATTTTCTAGCATGTTCGCATACACGAGTATAAGCAATTCAATATTGATTGGGTGTGGCCGCTAAAAACCGAATTTTAAAATTTTGGTGACGGAATCCTCCAACAGTATGGTACAGTATGCCATCTGCTAAGCAACAACTCTCAAGTATAAAACACAACTGTGGTATAAGACTCAACGTATGGGTATTGGGTACTGACTTATTGCACCCCCCCTGGCCCTGTATACCCTTACATACTGAACAAATAATATCCAACTAAATTTTGGCACTAGATAAGAACATCAGACACTATACTGCAGACACTATACTACAGGGTGGGCCAAAAGTCAGTGGGCACACGTTGGCCTTAATAACTCCGCCGTGTTTTATATTTGAGAGCTGTTGCTTTGCAGATAGCATACCGTACCTTCTGGTTCGAGGATTCCGTCGTCAAAATTTGAAAATTCGAATATTTTAGACCACGCCCATTCAAAATTAAAGCACCTATCTTGTTCTCTCTGAACATGCTGGACGCCTGATTTTTTCAGAGACGGTATATTATTAAATGTTGCACCTGATCTGAAAAAATGACGTGAAATAGATAAGAAATGCCGAAGTTATCAAGCTTTTTGCATATCTCGTTAACAAAATTGACTGGGTAATTGTGTGACACGCCACGACACCTTAATTGGGCAGCCTTAACGATTCCCAAAGTTTTTAACGGGGTGACCTTATCACGTGATCAGCCCAGGTCAATATCATTAAAAATATGTCGTATATTATTATATCTGGGTGAAATATGTCATGGTTTTTATCACCCGATGGGGTATTTTTGGGCCCCACAATGCTCCAAAGTGGCAGAACCCGATCCAGGGGGACAAAGCCTGCTACAGGCGAGTCCTAGAAAAATGTATTGAAAAATTCTTAACTATTTTGATATAATTTTTCAAACACAAGGATATTTTGTATATGATATCCCCCGTCAGATATGTCAAATATTTGTTCATCTGATCAAATATGCGGGAACATTTTTCATGTCAAGTTTTGCCTGTAAAAGACAAGTAAAAATATGCGTTAACTTTCTCAGATAATTGTAAATCATGACAAAATGTCAAGATTTCGGATGTCGCATGATTTTGGATGTCATGAAAATATCAAAATATTCGCAAAATTTTTTCAAGAAATTTGTTCGAAAAAAAAAAGAAAGGAATTCTGTAATCAACTATTTCTGAAATTAAATTAATTTGTAACAAAATGTAACAATAATTTTGTTATGTCGTGGTTTTCCTTCGAAATATGTCGTATATACAGGGTGGCCCATAAGTGACTACCCACACGCAACCTCTTAATAACTCACGTAATTCGTCTCCAAATTGCACCAAAATTTCAGAGATTATAGATATGGGTCAAACTTAGATTTCCTGAAAGTTTCGTAAGCCACGCCCAATTACAGTGGGCGTGGCGTGACACTCCCTCTTTTTCACTATTGTCTTCATAAAATGAGAACGCTTTAAGCTAAGAACTCAAACTTTTTTGCACACATTTGGCTTGATAAAACGAGCTCCTGCCTTAGACATCAGCAGAACAACCCTTCAGCGAATCCTAAAGCAAGACCTTTCTAACCGGGCCTACCGAATCACAAAGAAACACAAACTTTTGGACCGTGATTTCCAATCGAGGATAGATTTCGCCAACACATTCCTGTCGAAGCAGAATGTGGTTCCCTACTTTGAGGTTGATTTCATTTATTGATTTATCCTAAAAATTTGTGTTTTCCTTTCTAGCAAAGTCATCATCGGTATCCAATCAAAGCCTAATGAACCTCATTAATACACGCTAACGCCTTACTCTTGATCAGATTGGGTGACGAGATCACTAATTGAGTGCAAATATCACTGACTGAGTGCTCGGATCACATATCCGATGGATTTTAAAATGGTCATAACTCAGCCATATTTTAACCAATGAACTTGAAACTTTTGGAAAAGTTTTCAATTATCAAGCCAAATGTGTGCAAAAAATGTTGAGTTCTTAGCTTAAAGCGTTCTCATTTTATGTATAATATATGTATTAATATGCGAAATATGTAATGATATATTGACCTGGGGTGATCACTGATCAGGTAAGCCAATCACCTGATCACACGTAATGAATAAACTCGTTATGCTTCGTATCTTGGCCATCTGAGAAGTTACAACTCTAATTTTTTCAGGACAAACGTAATTCGAATGGCCAAACACAATTCAATAAAATTTAGCTCGATCCGACTATCCAAACTATCAAATAAATGCAAAAATGAACTCGAATATTTTCGATTTGACAAATTCATCGAACCAGTGGTGGTAGTAATTCGTACCAGAAAGAATTATTTCAATTGGTCACTCAGTGACTGAGCTATTAAGGCCAACGTATGCCCACTGACTTTTGGCCCACCCTGTTTTATAAATTTAATTTAGTGGAGTTAGTGCGTATGCTAGCAGCTAGCTGGTATATATGATACACAAGCTGTTAAAGTCGACCTGACCACACTGTCACTCTCATTGGCACAGTTGGTGAAAGGACCCAGGCGCGGTGGTGCTCATGAGTGAAATTCTACCATTGCTCCACAATTGCAAAGTTGATCTCCTCACAGGATAATTATAAAATAATGAATACAGTTGACAGTATTTTCAAAACATTAGCTGACCATCCAGTTTTAATGTTTTCCAATGTTTCACTGTATTCAATGCTGAATACAATTGAACCAAAAACAACTTTTAACTAACATCTGTTTATTTTGATGAATAGGTAATGGACAATCTTTCTGCTTCTTCCCCTCCTCCAAATATCTTTGCAAATGATGGAAGCTTTTTTGACCAATTCAGAAAGAAAATGGCCTACCAGTCAAAGACATCAAACTTACCTCAAAACCCGAATTGTCAGAAACAGCGCCCAGGATTTCGACCAAAGACAGCATGTAAACCTATAAACTTAAAAGCATCATTAAAGAAACATCTTAAAAGCGACTTAGCTGTTAAGGGTAAGTATTGTGTGATACTTCAAATCTAGTCAATCACGATAGCTGGAATATTTCTCACATTCATAATTGAATATATTATGGTTACACTAACTACACAAAGATTTGCGTGTGACCTGAGCTGAAACGATCAAGACTTTGTCATTGTTATGATATGACAAGTTCCAGCTAATCCAATTCTCACGGCAGTCCTTAAGGTACTTTAGAAACGAAACCGGAAGCACGAGAGCTGATCAATGGTACTGAAGACAGATCCTGCACTGGGAACCCTGTTTCTAGGTTAGATTATTTGCAAATTGAACTAAAATTACCTCTGAAATCAGTTTTTAAAATATATCAGTGGGGACAGTACAATTTGCTTGATACTTATCTTAAAATTAAAATATAATTAGTCTCTTGGTTGGGTTTTTAAATATTCGTATGTCTGATTCCATTAGCCATAATCTGCTAACCTCAACCCTGAATTGGGAGAAATTCTATAATAATTGCACAATAAACTCTCAAATTTCGTACATTTAAAGTTTCAATTCATGTGTGTTCCAATGCAATATTCGCTCGGCACATTATCACAATATAATATATGTATAATGCTCAACAGTCAACGAAATTTTCTCATATTAGTCGTGTGGAAGTCCTAAATTGTGTCATGGTTACTAACTTATAATTTATCATCAAATGATTTTATTACAGTTGTCAAATTACATCGAGTTCCAATTATGTGACTGTAGTATTTGGCTCATGAATTGATTTTATCACAGCAACCCTTTCACTCTAGACACGATATAATCTCATAACCAGGTGGCATGAAAATTTGATCTTTGCTCTTGATTCAGCACCAGGCGCACGTCAAATATATATATGTATATATATCTATATTATATATTATATATATTTATATATCATAATATTTTATATTTAATATGTATCATAGTTAATAGTTGATAGTACTATGTTTACAGTATGCACTGAAGGGGTATCCTAGGAAGTTTCTTGAACTTCTCATTTAACCCTCAATTAAGTTTCCTATCATTCGGCTGAGTCGACCGAGGAGATCGCATAGATCCATTATCATTAATCATTATATGTACATAATATATATATATATATAATATATATATTATGTATATATCATTTTCCACCTCATTTAGTCATTAGTTTTCCTTTTGTTTATCAATTAGTTCGGGTAGTGTCAACTTTTTGAAGCAGATGCAAACGCGATTGTGTAAAATGTTGATAACTCGTTTATATCAATATTCCTAGGCCTATACTGCGTGTCATGAGGCGTTTTACATTGCACCAATGCACTTTTGCACTATTGCATTATGGTGCAATAATAATGGTTTGTAGAGCCCCTGAAAATGTAACTTAGATAAAATATCCTACATTTTTTAGGTTTTACTCTGCTGTTTATAAAGTAACTTTTTAAAATTAGTCAATGGGATAGTTTGAAATAAATTTCACCAAGTTGTAATTAATTAAAATTATTAAATTGTAATTAATTAAAAAGGATTTATATTTTGGCACAATCGGGTATTAACAGGTGGAGTTAACTATTATGCTTTTCACAAAAGATACCTTTTCTCCATTTCAATTATTATATCTACCACAGGTTTTCCAAGGAATGGAGACCCAAGGCGCGTAGTCCAGCACTGCCCCCCAAGGCGCGTAGTCCAGCCCGGTCACCCAAGGCGTGTAGTCCAGCCAGGTCCCCCGAAAGAAGATCAGAGAAAAGGAAAACCCACTCCCCAGAGAGACGGCGGTCCAAAACTCCAGAAAAGCGGCAGTCTAGAAGTACAGATAGGCGGCGGTCAAGAACACCTGAAAGACGGCGGTCAAAATCCTTGGATCGACGACGGTCGAGAAGCTCAGAAAAGAAACGACACTCAGAGAGGTCGCCTGGGCAAGAAAGGAAATGTTCATTCGACAAGTCGCCTGCAAGGGAGAAGAAGAAATCTAGTGATAGGTCTCCTGAGAAGAGGCATTCCTCCTCCTCAGAAAAAACCCCTGATTCATCAGAGAAGTCTCACAGCACGGGGAGTGCTTCACCCACTACTTCCACCACGTCAGGTAAATTATGCGACTCCTAATACAAATCCGTTAGAAGTAGTACATATTACATTGGTCAGGTATAATGGTATTATAGATAGTTCATTTGTGCAATACCTTCAGCTTATAATAAACAGACCATTTCAGATACAACCAGGAAGAGGAAGAGAAAGTCCCGGTGGGGTGAGAAGCCTGCGGAGGTAGTTGCTGCAACGACACCAGCTACCCCCACCAAACCAGTCATTGCTATGATAAACGGAGTTCCTGTTGTAGTTCCTACTGTTGTGAGTGCCCTATTCTAATCAGCATGTCACTTTTTTAAACATTGTGTCTCTGTAGGAGATTTTATGATCACTTTAAAGTTGAAGAATTCATGTTTCTAAAACTTGTCTCGCATAAATAAGATAACGTGAAGGGTTACATAACACAATCTTTAGTGGTTTATGTGGCACGGCTTTTCTCAACCCAGCCAGTGAACATTTTCTACCGTTCTTAAGACCGATGTCACCGTGCGTCGAATCCTCCACATAGCGATACTATTTTGTATTGTTACATTCCGACTTCTCACACCACACTTCCCATTGAGATTGAGAAGCCTCTCTCTCTTCTCCCATACCCTGACAGTCTCATTATTACTCTCCAGTTCTCTCGCTAATAAAGACCCCCACCACCCGCACCTCTCTAATATAATAACTCATGTAGTGTGTGTGTGTGTGGTCGTTTTAACAAGCATCCTTGACATGCACACTTGCTGTAACACGTTCTTCTGGAAGCTTCTCTTTTTCTTCTCCCTCACCATTGACCACCTTGTCTGAGCAGCCTGATTGTGTGTTGCCATGACCACCATGTGACCAGGGCGTCATGTGCATGTGTGCGTACTGCCTGTGTGCACTGTGCTTGTAAAAACGAACAGTTCTACGAGCAATATCGCATGCTTAACGGAAAAATATTTTGTGATTGGCCAACAATGACTTTTGTGCTGGTCTTATGCGAAGCAAAAATTATCATAATTATAATCATTATATTATGTGTGGTAAAACTGACTGAGCATATGAATAAAATGGAACATGGCTGGGAACATGGCTGGGAACATGACTGGGGCCGTCTATATAATTATCTTAATTAAAGAGTTCTCTCAGTGACATGCAATTATAAGGTGCATTGTCCAACTTTGTGGAGCAGATCAGACCACTTAAAAAGCCCTATAATATTAATAATTAATGATAATTAATCTACTCTCATTATCAATTATTGATCATGATCTACATTCCGTCTTGATTATTAATTGTAATGTTTGTACCACGATCAGGCGGACACACCTCAAGAGGTAACGTTAAAAGCGCTGTCTACCCTGCTGAAGAACAAGACAGCTGACCCAAACAAGGTGAAGTACGAGTACGACAGTGACGAGGAGACCGAGAATGGAACATGGGAGCACAAACAGCGGGCTGCTGAGATAGAATCTACTGAAAGTTAGTTTCTACTGTTTCTTAGTATCTAATTTTACTTCTTTTTCGTTTATTACTATATGGTAGACTTTTAAGAAAGAGCACTTCCTTTTTAGTGCGAAATTTAGTAGTAGCGGACGTACACTTATCTTCGTGCCCATCAAGAAAGTTTGTACTGCACGTAGTGTTGAAATAGAGAGCCAAGAGACGACCACAAAGACACCATTTATTTGGCAATTTGAGACGTGCTGTTCTAGCCATGTCACCTTGGTGAATCTGGGAAGCTCTTGCTCGGTGGTTCAATTGAAACCAAGCTTGGTGATAGCCCGCCCAGGGTCAGGACGATATTTCAAATCTCCATCTTCGATACGTAAAATCAATATTCATTTTATCAACATCATTCTGCAATTCAAATAACTCGTAGTCTTCAAGACGCAATTACAGCTTCTAATTTAGTCTCGTTAAAACTGAGACAACGCCCAACGGTCATTCAAATGGTCTTTAAATTGTTACATTATAATATTGCTGGTCAAATTTATTTATTCATAGGTCTGGAACTTTAAAAGGTCCGACACGCTAGAGGGCCGGAATGACTGTCAACTAATATAAAGTTATTAACAATATATTACAACTAATATCCAGTATCCACCCCTACCAAGATCTTCCGGACATTTTTTGGTCCGGCAACAAATTTGTTTGGGATTTAAATTCTTACTGTAACTGTGAAAAAGGTGGTGGTCACACTAAATATTGCCGCGCGCATGCTCACGTAAAAGGTAGGTATTTTTCATTAGTCTTTATATGGCAACAATATATCAGTATAATATCACCGCCAGTTCTTCTGATATATAAGGTGGTCGGTATTTGGTTTTATAAGTAGCTGAAATAGCTGGCCATATGTATGGTAGGGACACGGATCAGCATTTTTTGCCCAGATCATCGGAATTTCGGGAATTTCTGTTCAGTTCATGGCTGGACCGCAGAACAGTCGAGCTTGGTATTATTATAATTATGTGTGTCTGATTTCTAAAAGGGTGGGTAATAATTATTTCTAAATACTTTTATTTTTTGTGATTAACTACCGTAGTGTCTCGTAATGTCTCATATTTAGAGGAGAGCTGGTTTCCCATTACTAGTTACAAGTATGTGAGTATGTATCAGAAAGGAATTGTGAATGCTAAGTGAATGAGACGCAATGTTGTGTGATCTTACGTTACATAACAGTTCTGCTTTTCAATCTGATTTAGTTGTAAACATACTATCTAGACCCATGACCCTGGTGTAGGAATTCTATATTTCAAGGAGTGTGTATAGTGTATACTCTGAAGATATGAGGAATGGGGAATAATGATTATGAATGGGTGCATATTGTGCTCCAGATATGAAACAAAATGAAACGTCCTTAGTCCTGGAGAGTCTGTACCGACGCGATGTGTAACCTTATTGTGTACGGTGTTTTTCAATGCGAACTAGGTCACAACCTGCTTTTACCGCACGAACGCACGTAACGCATCCTGATTACACCATGACTTAAACTGGTCAGCCTCAAAATCTGCTCATGTATAATTTAAACAAAACTGCTACTAATACTAACAACATTTAGTGTTAGATAACTAATACAACGTGTAAGCCTATTTTACACTCGCACAAAAAATAGTGGTCACTTACTTTTATCTCATTCAATAATAGGAAATTAACCTCACTCACCGCTGCTTTCCTTAAGAGAGTGTGGCGAGAATTATCACCTGAGAGAGCAGGGTCAGGGGTGGTGCGTGACGTCATGTCACGTGGTGTGTGACGTCACTCACCGCTGCTTTCCTAGAGCAGGGTGAGGGAGGTGTTTTGGAACATGTTCTCTGTAGAGTGGTGTCTCCTGGCTGGTTGTTGGTGTCCGGGGACCACCTAGCACCAGCATCTCACCAACAGTAACAGCCTATCAGCGATCTTTGCATGACTTTAACACATCTTGACGTGTAAATTATTTTACACCGTAAGTTTTATACCACGTACTGTAGATCTGCAACTGGATAAGAAATTATGTAGTAATAATGTTTACTGCAACCTGGCGATTTACTGCCCGGATTCTTTATTACATAATCATAGAAGTAGACTAGAACTCAAGCTGGAACTAGCCAGAATTCTCTGTCTGGAGGTTCTCTTCACCCCAATTTCCCACATTATGGATTTACTGATAACTCCTAGCTGAGCTATATAATAATAGAATAATGTTTGCAGAACCCTGCGTATTCTCAGTTTTAACTATGTAGGCGAGCTCCACAAATCTCGTTGGACGACCATAGTATTTCCTTCTCAAGCAGACACGCGGTGTTTTAAAGATATACGGTGACATGTAGGCTCTTTACTGGAGGATGGTTTAATGTATCCGGAAGATAATGGAGTTTAAAGCTAGGGGACCACCAACGTTGAGATTTAAAGATTGTGGGATTGGCTCATAATTATATATGATCGTTGAGAGTGGATGTGTTTGCGATCGTTTAAAAGCACGTGACCTCCCCCGGATTTAAAGTAAATGCTCATTTAATTAGATAATTAAATAATTAAATTGTGTGTTGGACAAACAAGCCTTCAACAAATCATTGTTTCTCGATACGCAAGTGTCCAGTTAGATTACGTGGACACACAGCTAGTTAGTGCCAACATTTTAAGTGGATACTGAACAGCTTGGATGACATGTTTCAGAATCAGAGAGCGAGAGAGGGAGAGAGAGAGAGCAAGAGAGAGACAGAGAGATTCCTTTTAGTAATTACTAATGAACCATAGCTAGAGAAAAACGGATTTGAGTTGTCTAAGATTTAGGAGTTCCTGATAACAATGACTGGGTTAATTGATCAATTAAAAAATCTTCTTAACATGTTTAAGTGAGTTCTTAATTACTAATTATACACTTCCCAGTTCCCACTGATAAAAACCGCGATCAGTTCTGCCAGTTCCCGCAAACAGCTGAACTGGTTACGATATAGATAATGTAAGAATAAATTACAGTGAGCCCGGGTGAGCCACAATTATAATTCTAAATAACCATTATTTACACTAGCAGGAACCCGTCTAACCCTAAAGTAGTGTCAAGACTCAAGAGACTAAAAAAATGATTACCTATTTAATTTGCGTTTTTGACACCACTCAAATTTTGGGCACTAAAATTCTTATTCCTTCGCCAATTTTTTATTTTTTTATGCTGATTTGAAGGCCAATAAAGCATTTAAAGCAGTCAAAAAAGTTTAATATACAATATATCTTTTACGGTTTTGGGCTGAAGTGATATCACTTCAGCTAAGGCCAAGCTTTGAAAGTCTGAAGTACCGTTCCTATTGGTAATACACTCCTGAGTTGTTAAAGGACCAGTTAACTGAAAAAAAAGTTATCCTCATATTTTGACAGATTGTGACAAATAGCAAACTGAGCAACGAGTCGAAATTCCTAAATCTCTAACTGCTCTCTAACGCGTGTAATTAGCGTTTGTATTATTTTGGCGATGACGTCATAAAGTCCCTTGCGCGCACAGAGCAGCTCGTGAGACTGTATTTTACAGGTAAAAATGGACATAATACAATGTTTCTCCCCCAAATAACTCGAAAAGTAAGTGTTTTAGGGTACATGTTGCTTCATAAGTTGTATATAAACATGGCCATTCTGCACAATTTGCATCCATTCAAAAATCTGTAGGGCCTTCATAGCCCAATTTACGAGACACCCATATTTTTGCATGATTTCTGGAACCGGAAATCAGTTTTTCGCCAATAACTGAAAAAGTAAGCACTTTAAGGCATCTGTTTCTTCGTAAGTCATATATTAATATGCTAAATGCGGTTCTTTTGCACCCTGTTTAAAGACTCTATCACGATCCTATCGAAAATGGGCTCAGCACCACGCCCAAAATGGTTTTTGGCGAATTTCTCGAAAAGTAAGGATTTTAGGCCATGTGTTGCTCAATAACTCCTATATAAACTTGCATATGCGGCTTCGTTTAAGCCTATTTTGAAGTCTCCACGACCTTCAGAAGCAAAGGGTCGGTTACGTTATTGGGTCAATATCGGCGTGGTCAATATGTCTCCAACCGAAAATCGTTTATTCATACTTTTGGGAAGGTCTTTGCAAAATTTCGGGAGTATACGAAAATTTGCAGGTTCAATTCCATAAATGTCCATAAATGACTGGACTACACAAGTTTAGAGTTAACTTTAGAGAAACTCATAAATCATTATTATCTAAAATTAAGCTGTCAGTGTCCATGATCAACCTATGGCTACAATGTTTTACGTGAAAATTGAAATGTAAAAATCAGGAGTAATATAAAAAGTGTATTTTTAGATTAAATTGCTATCTCATAGTTTAAGAATTGTATAGATTAAAGTTTGTCGTTTAGCCATCTAAGAATCGATCGTGCCGTAATATATATGGCCAAAGAATAATAGGGTCTTGGAAATTCTATAGTTGTTCAGTGGGTCGATTGACTGAACACGTTTGCACTTGGTATTTAATTTTATGATCATACAAGTAGGACGATAACTAGGTAAGTCAAATTCAAAACACTCCGCACACTGTACAGTCCAATCAGTATTTAGTAGACCGGGTATTTTTCGGTTCCCACGGCACCGTTCTGATAGGAGCTACTTCTACTAATGGTCCCATGGGAACGGCCGTTAAATAGCCAGACTTCTTGTCTCCTGTACTCAGTACTGTCTGGCACGTGTGGATTAAAGTATAGTAAGAAATTTCGCTATGCTAAAAATATAATTGCTCTCGGAACTATGTCTTTTAGGACAGCGAACCATTCGACTGCTCGCATTCTTCCAAACAACTGTAATATTATATTACAGAGTTACACTCTTATCAGCTATATTTAATATATAGCACATTATTTTGTGTATTAGTTTCATGTACTGGGGAAAAATAATCGGTACAGTCTCCCTTCGTTTGTAATGAAGCAATGAAAACAATCCAAAATTATCACATATGACATAACTTGTAATAGCAGAGACTTTCTAACCGTACATTCACCCGCCACTGTTCAAGAACTTATGTCACTGTTTAAAATCCTGACGTGAGCACTGTACATCCAATCAGCTATTCATATAGTTAGGGTGATAGCCAAAACTATAAGGATTTTGTAGAACTAGGGAAATAGTCATAACTCTAAAATTTGAGTGAGTTACACGTGTTTTATTGACGATGATAAACATTTGTGCATTGTATTACGCTATGCAAGCGCGCACTGAGGGACTTTATGACGTCACGCGGCCACAGCTTATTATTGCAATAACACGCGTTATACGTACGCTAGAGAGTTGGTTCTTTCGGCGATACGATTCTTTACCAGTTTGTCACAGCTGATTTAAATCTTAGCCAAATTGGAGACTACAAATTGTTCAGTTAACTGGTCCTTTAAAATTGTTAAATTCAGGTTACAGTTCAATATCGTACCATGATCACGTGTCACATGAATTGCAGTCACGTGACGTCCTGATCAGTGCAAAGTTTGCACGCTGAATGCAATGAACCGTTTTCTCGCTCTTATACACAAATATATATCATAATGTAATACATGTATTCAAGTTGTGCTGCAAACATATCCTAACAATTATCATCTCAAATTTCGAAAAAAAGGCAATATTGTTAGGTTACCGAGCCCGCTATAAAGCCTCACTAAGTTATACGTTATTATCATGATTAATACTCCGCTAAAGAAAGGGAGAATTTATAGTCATAATGTCTATAATGTCTATTTACCTGGTCTGGTGCAGATTAATGTCTTTAACGCCATAATAATATGTGACGTGTATGTGAGTAGACTGTGAAAGTTAGACCACCATATAAAAGTGGTATTATATTCAGATCATAATGTTGTTAGACCTGAAATTATATCTCAACAATTTGCGGTATGTGAGACGGAGACCACACTATTATAATGAATATCATCACCTTCAAGTACCACTTAATTTCCCTCTCTTCAAATAAGTAAAGTAGATCCATTCTGGCTATTATGATTATATCACGTGGGCTAATATGAGCAGGTAATATATTACCATAATAATATACTATTACTATAGTGATATCACTGAACATATAGTACATGTTAGAGGGCTCCAGAGAAATTGTGGTCTTTTATATACGGCTTCCGTTAGATCAGTAGTACGTGAGCAGAAGCCAGAACGGCACATAGGCGGAGGAAAGGTGGTACTGATGTGGCGGGATAGTGATAGACTGCTTAAATTATATTTATAATCATTAAACCACACAAATGTGAGGAATTCAAGAAATGTGAGGGTTCTTGGAGGAATTTGAGAAGTAAGAGTTTTCCTCCTGGTGACTGTAAGGTTGGATCACCAGTATTTATATAAGCCGGGGTGGTGTACCGTTCTCACCACTTATAACTTGACTATTTGGGTGTACACCGTCGGTTTACTGTAGGGGGGGGGGGGGGGGGGGGCCGGGGGACCGTATTTAACAAGATTATATGGTACAATACCAGTGCACCACATTATCTGTGACCACACTGCGTTTCTCAGTTTCTCAGTCGCAACAGCAATACATTTAGAGGTCATGAACTGCAACATTTGACCTGAATATTATGATGCTCATTATACCTTATCTGAGTTGTTGACTGTTGAGCGATAAGTAAACATAGAAAATGATGAGAGGAGCATAATAATATATCTAAGTGAAGTATAGATATAGCCTGATGATATTGTATACTTAATACTTGTATTGTATGTGAGGGTGAAGTGAGGTATGAACTAAGTTTTGTAACAAGGCCTAATTGTTGGACGTACGTTGTTGTGCTCAGTGCAGCAGCTACCTCTCTGTATCTCAAATTGTCGGTATTATTGTTACATATTCTGTCCTGTAAGTTTAGGTTAGCTTCACGGTAGAGAACAGGAATCTCAAGAGGGTAAATTATAGAAAATGAGGAAAGGAAGCGGTTACTGAGAGTATTTAGCCTTAGAAATACGCACGATTTCAGTTTTGAGTCATAAGTGAATGAAGCAACTTTCGTAAATCTTTAAATTGAGCTAGAAGGTTCGATACGAGAACTCCGAGAAAAACATGGTTGTAATTGAACATATCACAATGTCCGTTAGAATTTACACACGAAGGAAACTCAGATGTATCCTCTAAGATCGTGAAGCTTTAGCTCAGCCTAATCAGTGGAACAGTGTGAAACACATACTCAATTGTATAAGTACTAGTAACTTCACACCCAGTGTCACTGTCCCTTATCACTGGTATCACCGGTCATGTTTCAGACCCCTAATCACATAAATGGTCCTTATTACTGAATGCATTGTGTCATTCCAGTGGAATTTGCAGAATTTATAGGACTGAGGATACGTGTTTTTTTTAATTAAATACTTTTCAAATTTAGTAAATTTGAATATCTAATAAATATTACCTGATAAACGGATGTATTTGTCAAGGGTGATACAGTTATTAATTATAATTATTGATTGTGCTATATTTCATTATCTACTTACTAAGTGGTGATTTGGTACGGGAGTACTGTTCAACTGACTCTGACTCTGACTCTGACTCTGACTCTGACTCTGACTCTGACTCTGACTCTGACTCTGACTCTCAGACTCTGACTCTGACTCTGACTCTGACTCTCAGACTCTGACTCTGACTCTGACTCTGACTCTGACTCTGACTCTGACTCTGACATGACTCTGACTCTGACTCTGACTCTGACTCTGACTCTGACTCTGAATAAGTATGGTACAAATTGTGCCATGTGCAGATTTTCTAGACTCAAAATAAACTTTTCGTTTCGAACAACAGATACAACTTTTCCATTGATCCGCACTACTAGATCAGTACACGATGGCTGATCTTTGTGTGTTCTATAGTACGCTATAAACACATTATTAATTTCAATTAGTTTTAATTAATTCTCCGTCTCTTTCCCAAGGTGTAGACAGCATTTTCAATAGAACCGCAATTAAAATAAGTTTTCCATACACCCTGTAACACCACCCCTGTAACACCACCCCTGTAACACCACCCCTGTAACACCACCCCTGTAACACCACCCCTGTAACACCACCCATGTAACACCACCCTGCACCCCTGTAACACCACCCCTGTAACACCACCCCTGTAGCACCACCCCTGTAGCACCACCCCTGTAGCACCACCCCTGTAACACCACCCCTGTAGCACCACCCCTGTAACACCACCCCTGTAGCACCCCTTTTTTTTTTTTTTGTTTTTTTTGTTTGTTGCACCCCTGTAACACACCCTGTAAGTGTATCTATATAACACTGTACTATAACCACATGTATAATAAGTGGTTCACGTAATGTCTTGCAAACATAAATCGCTCACAGCAAACCAAACTTGACATCTTTTTCCCACGGAAAACGTATAATATTATATTGGATGCTGTGCATGACATTACAAGTATGATTTGTAGCAGTGCAGTATAATATAATGTGCACAATGCTGACCGTTTTCACAACTTCAACGCTACTACGATGCAGTATGGTGTTCTCCAGAATTTCGCCATCCAGATTTAAGACAGATCAAGCATTTTGTCTGTACATGTCGAAAAAGTTTTCTCTAGGGCCACGATCCGCGATCGGGTTAAGTCAAAATTGTCCATTGATCTCAAATATTTTATTGTGACAATGGTGATGGTCCCCATCTAGTGACTGTAGAATTGGTTTTCCAGTTCAATTATGAGAATTTTCAGAAGGCTTATAAAAATATAAACATGATGTCCTAGAATTGACAGTTAAAATTATAATAGTTCTTAATACTCCCAATCATCTTACCTTCATGTTATTAGTGAGTAATTCAAAATAATAACTGCTCTGACATGAGCATACTGCACCTTGACACATTGACAATATATATGGGTGGGCGCTAAATACAATCCCTTCATTTCACTCTAACAAATACATCTGACAATAAAAACATCTCCTGAGCTCACCAGTCACCCCTCAGACCTGCAATAATTGTAACAACCCACACACTGACAAACACTGAGGAGGTCGCTTTGTTGTGTGGACTCTATTACCTTATACCTAACCTATTGTCTTATTACAATCTCTCTTTGTTTCCTGGTACATAGCCGTGAACAAAGCTATCAAAGGTATGGTATTCCTATTATATGAAATACACTCTCCCACCTGAGATGTATTGAAACTGTAGCTAGACCGTTACCGGTGTACTGTAAACTGCATCTCCTGTGTACTGTAATAACAATGTTGTGCAGAGTATACCCCCCCCCCCCCACCAGAGGGTTTGTCACATAATGGAAGCTGACCTATCACTCTGATCCGTCCTTAACCTTAGCTTTAGTAGTCTATACTCTATCCTCTAGTGCCCGCCTCTATATTCATCATATTGTGTCGGAGTATAAAATCACTGACTAGCTGCACCAACTCATTTATTTCACCGCATGGAAGTTGAAATAGTGCCTGGGTCGTGGAACATGTTGGCGAAGTATGAGAAGTATGCTCATGAGTTACTGAGATTCAGATCATAAATTAGTGTTGTAAACTAATTACAACACTGCAAATCTATTACATTTATTGAGAATTATGTAATGTAACGTGATGGAAATTTTAAACGGGCATATCCTGTCTAAACAGCTAAACCCAGGATGCACTACATGAAGAATTCGTTGTAACTTTGTTTGAAAAGCATTAATAGGTTTAGTTAGTTAGCTTAAAATGCTGTCATTTACTGAACTATGCGGTATATCTTTAGTAATATAGTATTAACTATATTATTATTATTTGTACTGTGAACCTCATGATTTTAAATAACGCTATCTCTTTTACCACCATTAGTTTGGTCTGGCTATGCCTCTTGGGAAATTAAAGACTTTTTACACAGTGTGCACTGTACCATACAATTAAAGTCATTGTAGTTAAAGAACTATTGAACATTGTTAAAGAAGAAGAACACATTGTTTTAGTTACATGTTGTAAAACATTGTATTTTAATAACATAAATGTTATAACTTATATATTATTGAAGCAACAAACAAATTTATACATTATAATATTATATAGTCTAGCTGTGAGTCGAACAAATCTTCAAAATAAATGGGATGAGTTCAGGCTTGTGTACATTATATTATACATGCAAGATTTCTTATCCCATTTATTTTATACAATACGATAGCAAATATTTATTGTCTAGCTGTTCAGCTCACTCAGGAATAGTTCTACCCTTATTAAACAATATTCAATATTTGTGATAATATTTGGACAAGGAATGTGATACTCACCACGTGAACAGAGACAATGAGACGATTTATCGTGAAATATTTCCTTCATTCCATAACACAATTCCCCTCAGTTCGAATACCAGATCTAAATCTGTATATCCCAGCAAAAGGAGCTCTCCTTTCCAACTCAGTTAACAATAACGTCCAGACTCGCTCAATCTTAGCCAGCCATATTATCTGGTGCACATTATAATCTCCCTCTACTTGAGTATACTCCCTGTTTATTCGATTGAGCACATGATTTCTGTGGCTCCGTGTTTATTTGATGAAGCGAGAGGCCGTAGGAGAGCTGATCATGACTCAAGCAATGTAGATTAATGAGCTCTAAGTTGAACTGTGCTGGCCGGGAGGTCGGTTACCCCCCACCAAGGTTTGCTCGACATGCCTATCATACCACACTCACCGAGAGAGAGAGAGAGAGAGAGAGAGAGAGAGAGAGAGAGAGAGAGAGAGAGAGAGAGAGAGAGAGAGAGAGAGAGAGAGAGAGAGAGAGAGAGAGAGAGAGAGAGAGAGAGAGAGAGAGAGAGAGAGAGAGAGAGAGAGAGAGAGAGAGAGAGAGAGAGAGAGGAGAGAGAGAGAGAGAGAGAGAGAGAGAGAGAGAGAGAGAGAGAGAGAGAGAGAGAGAGAGAGAGAGAGAGAGAGAGAGAGAGAGAGGGAGGTCTTTAATAGTTTATTATCAAACCTGAAGAGGGGGGGGGGGGCTCAAATCAATCTGATATCTCAGTCTCCACAACTTGTCCAGAAGAAATGTTTGAAAGTTGAAGCAATAACACCTCTGTTAAAAACCAAGCTAATAATCCAATGAGCAGGCATATTCATTTTGACGCACTAAATAGTTTTTGTAGCACTGCTAAGGGTTCACTGAACAGCACATCTAGCGATCTGATCTCCTGTCAAGTTTACATAACATAACGTACTTTGAGGTGCACACTAGATATAATACAGTGCAGGTTTGAGGTGCACACTAGATATAATACAGTGCAGGTTTGAGGTGCACACTAGATAATACAGTGCAGGTTTGAGGTGCACACTAGATAATACAGTGCAGGTTTGAGGTGCACACTAGATAATACAGTGCAGGTTTGAGATGCACACTAGATAATACAGTGCAGGTTTGAGGTGCACACTAGATATAATACAGTGCAGGTTTGAGATGCACACTAGATAATACAGTGCAGGTTTGAGGTGCACACTAGATAATACAGTGCAGGTTTGAGGTGCACACTAGATAATACAGTGCAGGTTTGAGGTGCACACTAGATAATACAGTGCAGGTTTGAGGTGCACACTAGATAATACAGTGCAGGTTTGAGGTGCACACTAGATAATACAGTGCAGGTTTGAGGTGCACACTAGATAATACAGTGCAGGTTTGAGGTGCACACTAGATAATACAGTGCAGGTTTGAGGTGCACACTAGATATAATACAGTGCAGGTTTGAGGTGGAAGCTAGTTAAAGTGTGGGTCAATACAATTAGATCTGAGGTGCCTGGCGCGAGTGGCACATTACGTAGTGGACTATAACATTAACTACACTTCTCCTATTTATCTGGTAATGTTAACACCATCTAGATACCCGTAAAGTGTTACGGCGCCGGGTTTCTGCATATTTCATGTTGTCAATAAAGTTACATTTTTTATGATGATGTGACGCATGGAAAATCGCAAAGTTGTGGTCGAGTTAAGTTGGGTTAGTCTTGAAAACTTTTAACTTGAGGACGTGAGGACAAAACACTGATACAAGTTTCACTCCAACAATTCTTACTGTAACTAAGATACGATATATTTTGTAGTCCGGAGTATAACAGAAAGGCTCATTCTGAGCCTCCCAATTGCCCGGTATCAAGAATCAATATATGAATATAGCACTCAGCAGTCAGCAGGAGGGTGTTACGATGGTCCTTTGTCAAGAGCTGCCCGATTACTTTGTTCGATAATCGTGTCACGTGTCTCATTATAGTCACATGTCTCGTTAATAGTACCTTGCTAATACCTTTCCTTATCTGTCTAATCTGAATTGTCCGACTGGACAAAAGAGCTGGAGAGAGAGAGCTGGATTTATACTTTATCTCGTCGTAGTAGATACTTCCCTAATTCCTGTACCTAATCAGAGAGAGGTTATCATTCGCTGACTTACAAAACGTTACATTCTTCCTTTCCCCCGATACTAGCTTTACATTCTTCCTTCTTTCCCCCGGTTACTGACCTAGATACCTTACTTTACTGACTAAGAAGAGGTGTATCACTATCAACTGTACACTGTACACTGTACACTGTACACTGTACACTGTACACTGTACACTGTACACTGTACAGTCTGAATAAAGTCGGTGTCGCAGTTCGCACACTGGCCTCTTCCCCGGTACTTACAGTGAATCAATACAATTCCAACTGCAGTCCTCAGAACACTTACACAGTGTATTATATTGTACTGGTTCAAGACAGAGACCCTCCTTCTCGGCCTCACTACCCACTAACAAGCTCATATACAGGCACGCCTTCTCTTTGTACGCCAGACAGACAGATATATAATATCAGACGGCTCGGGATTAGGGGGTAAGGAGTAAGGAGTCCCTTTGAGAGAGGGTTACGTCACTTCTGGTGACCGGTACACTTTCGCTTTGTCATTTGGCTACCATAAAATATTCTATTGCTCCAGACAGGACTCAGCTAGAATCTAGATGTCATGATATTAGGGCTGTCAGAAGACGATGGCCCTGTTCGGCTGTACCCCGACCGTACATCTTGTTGTTCTACAGAAATACGAAATGTTCAGATCATTTAAGGAAAAGGCACATAAAGTATTCGCTCTATAGTCGCTGATCTAAGGTTATTGTCTTGAAGCTGTTAGACATAATGTAGGAATTGATACGGTAATTCTTTGATAAGATAATATAAAGTCTAAACAATATCGTAGGAGGGTACGTTATATTGTATGCAGTAATGTATGCCGTTTTTGCGAACAGATTGGATAAGATATCAGCTCGCTTCCCTAGCTGTTGGCCCCCCCCCCCCCCCACCACTATCTAATATCGAGACTACGGCCATGGTAACGATTAAATTATTAAGGTTTAATGAGGAATCTTCTGTCCTCCTTTGATATTGAGAGGCATTTTCTTTGATATACCCGATAGTAACTAATAGGAATGCCACAAATCAGAATTGAAATGCAGCTTAGTTTGAGTCTGATGTTAAGATACAGTATATTATATAAGATATATGTTTACTCTGATAGGTACGTACGTATGTGTTGCAGTTTTTAACAACATGCTCTGAGCTCAGAATCAGAAAAATAATATTAAACCAGCCCTGATTAACATCTGAAGTTGGTGCTGAAACCGGCAATGGTACCGGAGGTACCGGGTAAATACCATTACTATTTCTAGAATGTTGCTGTACTATTCTAGAATGTTCCTGTCACGTGGTACGTACAGCGCAACCCCAGTTAGCCGGGTTGAGTTGTGAGCCAGATAGTGTAGTTAATTAAACCTGGTTAAAACCTTGTGAATTAGCGTAATTGTGCAGCTCATGGATTGTTCCTCAACAATGTGTGTCAATAGAGTCTAGGTGAGAGTAACTGACTGGTACGTGTCATTTCCATTTTCCAAGGTTAGCGCACGTTTGTCGACTGATCTCACAGCTTCACAGATAATACATTATAATTATCTGATACTCAAGAGCTTCACATGACATTTCTGATGAAAACGTAATATGCTACAGCACGCTATTCGTCAAATTATGCTTTTCAGTCAAATCATCATGAGGAATACTGCGCTGAAAACACGAGATTGGCTTTGTTTTGAGAATCACGTCTCCACATTCAATAGAATTTATCGAACTTACATATTAAATTATCCAGACTGATTGTTTAATATCAGTATAAAAATTAGCTATAACACGCTTTTAAACGTGATACAGTCTAATCTACAAGATCATGAGTCATGACACTGTCACAGGTCACTGTTGGCTGTTCCCGGTGTAACTCCTAGCAGTTGAGTTGGTTACTATTCACAGCAATCACAGTTGACCAGCTGCTTGAACAGGTGCAAGTGTCACGGCTACATGGTCATCATCTCTACCTACTGATAATCAGTCACGTGTGTTACCATGTGTCACGTGTTAAAATATTGGCATATTATGATTTATGAGTGTGTGTGAAGTGCAGGTATTATGCGCATATATTATATTGGTGGTGTTCGTGAAATTGGGTAGATGGTGTGTTAAATACTGCACAACTCCCAGGAGTAATCAAATAGAAGAGGTGTGTTACCAGTAGTGCTAAGTACGTGGTCATGTTATTTAAAGCTCGTAGTTCTTAGTACAGGATCGTTAGTGAGATATTTCTATAGTAGAAACTTAAACTAAGTAGAAACTGATATATTAGTTTAGCTAGTGACTTACCATGATTTCGCTTCAAGCCGAACGCTATCATTTAAAACATCAAAACAACCCGCTCCCCTAAACATAAAATCCAGCAGCTCACATCCAACAAAAACATGGCCAGCCAAACACACCTAACCCTCCCCGCTACACGGTTAACAGATTTAGAAATTAAAGTCCACTAATGTGCAGCTAGCCGGGTAGAGTAACCGTATTATGTCTGTAGCGGGGGTGTGCCCTGGTCAGCGCTGCTAACACGCCACCTGCTATTCGGCACTCTATTACATTATATCCCTACAACCTGTCATCTCTTCAGATCACCTTACCGGACAGACAGCTCTCTAACTGCTGCTGTTCTCTGTTGTTGTTGGTTAGACGTGATAGGATCATGTTGTTACTGTGACAAATGACAGGAACTTGTTAAGTAGTCTCTAGTAGGGATGTTATGTTGCAGTCTTGTGTATCATGTGTTGTTCGAGGAGCTTGAGTCTTTCGTCTTTGATTTCTGAGCGGTCCGATTCGATTTGCTGGTGATCTTCATCAGTAGGCGAGTACAATTACTAGAGCCGTACCGACCGCAGATTTAAGATCTGAATATTTGGAACATTGGTTACAATTATCTCTCTAGCTGCACTTATTTTATCTCCTTTTTGTTTTGTTTTTTCTCCGTAACTTCGTCAAGGCTGACGTCTCCCTGACAAATACACTGGAACTACAGCATGCCGCTGCCTATCATGGGTTTGGGTTAATTCGCTGCAGATCCCGACAGCAACTGCTTTTCTTGGCTGTAAGAGGTCGACATACAATAGCTAATAGATTTACCAGACATCATCAGCGATGCAGTAATGTTGAGCAGCACTGCAACAATGTCAACTAAACCACAAGTCCAATTTTCTGATCTTATCTGAGCCAATGGAGGTTGGAGAATAATGCATCTAACAATGCCGCTGTCAGACATATGTATTGTCTGTCTGGACTGAAAATCTATCTAATACCTTGATTCATTGTTGGGTTTCTTTAGCTGTCCGGGCTTCTTCAAATTTCGTGCAATCAAACACTGCCTTTCTTTAAAGATTTCACGTAAAATTAGTGACCATGTGCATGCCATGATTCGTATCCTAAAATTGTCAATTAAGTCAGACCTGTTCGTTCTGGTAGATGTGAGTATATCTATTTAGAGTGATTAATCACTCATATCTTTATTGAGTAAACGTTCAGCGAGCTTAAAATGTATGATGAAATTGAAGAGCCACTTGGAGAGTAATGGATGCAGAATGCATATTGCATATTGCATTATATTGCATAATGCATATTGCATATGCTAATGTTTACCTGTAACACGAACAATTATATGAGATAGTGGCGTATAATAGAATAAAATCATGCCCTCTAACTATACTTTCATTTCTTTTAACCAATTCAAGGTTGGAGAAATGGAATCTGAACTATCCTTGATTTCCTCCAGCAAGTTATATGAATATAGTAAATTTACACTATTTGTAATTGTGGCCAGAATTTGGACGCACGAAGGCTTGCTAAGTCCTTGCAGCGTTGCTGATTATAAAATCACACTGTCTAATTCACACCAGGATGATGATGACACAATAGCTTGTAATGGCTGAATCTCTGTATTGTAGCCTTTGTATACCAACTGAAACATCACTTACAAAATTTAGGAAGAACTTAGAGTCTGCGAAACCAGTTGTCATGAACAATGAAGATTAGACATAGCCACACGGCCACTATAAATAGTACCATTTACTGAAGACTAAATCGTTACATTTTCAGCTCAAGTTGAACAGATAAATACGCTGAACGAGGGAAAGCACCACTTGGGAGATTTCTTACCCACTGAAGAACTGGAACGATTCATGCTGAGGGTAAGTTTAACCTTAAATATCTGTAAATTTGACCATACTCTCTGCAAATTTCCTTGCTTATGCAAGTGAACATGTGTCATAACATAACTGCTAAGAAATCGATTATTATCTCCTATATCGGTATCACGTGATCACATTACGCCCAATTTCAGTACCTGTTCGTCAATGTCGCGCCTAACATGCCACCGTAACTGAAATCTCAAATTTCTGCTTTGCCTGTCTCTGAAATCGATGTAAACGGTTGGATCGGACAAAATATTGCCAAGCCAATTACCGCCCTGCTGTATGGCTTAATTTACGGCAGTAAGTGGGGAGCGTTGCACAGAAACGAGCAAGACGCCCAATTTAGACTAGTCTGTTCATATTGTTATACAGTTCCACTTACCATCTCTTCTTTTTAATTAAGAAATGCACATTATATGCGCTGTATTCATGCGAACATTCCGGTGCATACTGCATATTTTAACCTCTAGAGTTCATAATTTAAAGCTTCGGGGTAGGAGGAATCTAGATGGTATGTCAAGAATGGTAAATTCGCAATCTCGTATCCTTCACACTTTTTAGTTCCCTCACCAAACAGACCCATTACTTAATCTAGTTATAACTGATTAGATAATTATCGTTCTGTACGGTCATACATCAGTAGGGGGGGGGGCTCATGTTTTTTTGTCCGTTTTTGTCCGTTTGGCAGCTATATTTTCAAAACGGACAAAAAATAAAGCGGACAAAAACGGACAAAAACGGACAAAAAATAACAAAAATTGAAATAACATTTAGATGCTTCCTCCTCCTCCTCCTCCTCCTCCTCCTCCTCCTCCTCCTCCTCCTCCTCCTCCTCCTCCTCCTCCTCCTCTTCCACCTTCTCCTCCTCCTCCTCCTCAGCCATCCTCCTCAGCCATCCTCCTCAGTCCTCCTCAGTCCTCCTCCTCTTCCACCTTCTCCTCCTCCTCCTCCTCAGCCATCCTCCTCAGTCCTCCTCAGTCCTCCTCCTCTGCAGTCCTCATCATCCTCCTCAGTCCTCCTCCTCCTGGGTCCTCCTCCTCCTCTTCCTCCTCAGTCCTCAGTCCTTCTCCTCAGTCCTCCTCCTCATCCTTTTCGTCAGTACTCCTCCTCCTCAGTCCTCCTCCTCCTCCTCCCTCTCAGTCATCCTCCTCAGTCATCCTCCTCAGCCATCCTCCTCAGCCATCCTCTTCAGCGATCCTCCTCAGTACTCCTCAGTCCTCCTCCTTCTCAGTCCTCCTCAGTCCTCCTCCTCAGTCATCCTTCTCCTCCTCCTCCTCCAGGGGGGATCCTGTTTTTTATCCTTTTTTTCCGTTCGGAACCCTATATTATCAAAACGGACAAAAAATAGAGCGGACAAAAACGGACAAAAACGGACAAAAAATAACAAAAATGGAAATAATATTTAGATGCTTCCTCCTCCTCCTCAGTCTTCCTCAGTCATCCTCCTCCTCCTCCTGAGTCCTCCTCCTGGGTCCTCCTCCTGGGACCTCCTCCTCTTGGGTCCACCTCCTCTTCATCCTCCTCCTCTTCCTCCTCAGTCCTCAGTTCTCCTCCTCAGCTCAGTCCTCCTTCTCAGTCCTCCTCATCCTTTTCCTCAGTCCTCCTCCTCAGTCCTGCCCAGTCCCCCTCCTCCTCCTATTCACTCCTCCTCCTCCTCCTCCTCCTCCTCCTCCTCCTCAGTCCTCCTCCTCCTCAGTCCTCCTCCTTCTCAGTCCTCCTCCTCCTCCTCAGTCCTCCTCCTCCTCAGTCATCCTCCTCAGTCCTTCTCCTCCTCAGTCCTTCTCCTCTTCCTCCTCCTCCTCAGTCTTCCTCATATTCCTCAGTCCTCCCCCAGTCACCCTCCTCCTCAGTCCTCCCCCAGTCACCCTCCTCCTCCTCATCCTCCTCATCAGTCCTCCTTCTCCTTAGTCCTCCTCCTCAGTCCTCCTCCTCCTCCTCCTGGGTTCTCCTCCTGGATCCCTCTTCTCCTCCTCAGTCCTTCTCCTCCTCCTCAGTTATCCTCCTCCTCCTCCTTCTCCTCCTGGGTCCTCCTCCTTCTGCTCACCAGTCCTCCTCCTCAGTCCTCCTCATCCTCTTCATCCACTTACTTCTCCTCCTCATCAGTCCTCATCAGTCCTCCTCCTCCCAAGTCATCCTCCTCCTCCTGGGGCCTTTTCCTGTGTCCTCCTCCTCCTGGGTCCTCCTCCTCAGTCCTCCTCCTCTTCCTTCTCCTCAGTCCTTCTCCTCCTCAGTCCTTCTCCTCTTCCTCCTCCTCAGTCTTCCTCCTCCTCAATCCTTTCCCCAGTCACCCTCCTCCTCATCCTCATCCTCCTCATCAGTCCTCCTTCTCCTTCTCAGTCCTCCTTCTCAGTCCTCCTCCTCCTCTTCTTCCTGGTTCCTCCTCCTGGGTCCTCCTTCTCCTCCTCAGTCCTCCTCCTCTTCCTCCTCCTCCTGGGTCCTCCTGATCCTCCTCAATCTTCTTTCTCCTTCTACTCCTCCTCTTCCTCCTCAGTCCTCAGTTCTCCTCCTCAGCTCAGTCCTCCTTCTCAGTCCTCCTCCTCATCCTTTTCCTCAGTCCTCCTCCTCAGTCCTGCCCAGTCCCCCTCCTCCTCCTCCTATTCACTCCTCCTCCTCCTCCCCCTCCTCAGTCCTCCTAAGTCCTCCCATTCTCAGTCCTCCTCCTCATCAGTCCTCTTCACCAGTCCTCCTCCTCAGTCCTCCTTATCCTCATCCTTCATCTCCTTCCTTCATCTCCTTTCTCCTCCTCATCCTCCTCATACACCTCCTCCTCATCAGTCCTCCTCCTCACTGCTCACTCCTTCTCCTCCTCCTCCTCCTCCTCCTCGTCCTTAGTCCTCTTTATCAGTCCTCATCAGTCCTCATCAGTCCTCCTCCTCCCCAGTCCTCCTTTTGGGGCCTTTTCCTGGGTCCTCCTCCTGGGTCCTCCTCCTTTTGGGTCCTCCTCCTCTTGGGTCCTCATCCTTCTCCTTAGTCCTCCTCCTCCTCAGTCCTCCTCTTGAGTCCTTCTTCTCCTCCTCCTCCTATTCATTCCTCCTCCTCAGTTCTCCTTCTCAGTCTCACTCCTCCTTCTCAGTCCTCCTCCTCCTCTTCTTCCTGGTTCCTCCTCTTGGGTCCTCCTTCTCCTCCTCAGTCCTCCTCCTCTTCCTCCTCTTCCTGGGTCCTCCTGATCCTCCTCAGTCTTCTTCCTCCTTTTACTCCTCAGTCCTCCTCCTGCTCAATCCTCCTCTTCCTCCTAAGTCCTCCCCTCCTCAGTCCTCCTAAGTCCTCCCCTTCTCAGTCCTCCTCCTCATCAGTCCTCTTCACCAGTCCTCCTCCTCAGTCCTCCTTATCCTCATCCTTTATCTCCTTTCTCCTCCTCATCCTCCTCATACACCTCCTTCTCCTCATCAGTCCTCCTCCTCACTCCTCAGTCCTTCTCCTCCTCCTCCTCCTCCTCGTCCTTAGTCCTCTTTATCAGTCCTCATCAGTCCTCATCGGTCCTCCTCCTCCCCAGTCCTCCTCATGGGGCCTTTTCCTGGGTCCTCCTCCTCTTGGGTCCTCCTCCTCTTGAGTCCTTCTTCTCCTCCTCCTATTCATTCCTCCTCCTCAGTTCTCTTTCTCAGTCTCACTCCTCCTCAGCCCCCCTCCTCTCCCTCCTCAGTCCCCCCTCCTCCTTTTCCTCTCTTTCATCTCTCAATAATTTGTTCAATTTATAATTATTGTTGGTGTTATTGTTAACATAATTTATTGTTATACCGTATACTAAAATGTTTTTAAGCGCATTTGAGTCTGACTCAAAATGTGCTCAAGAATCTTTGTGTTTAACAAAGTTTTACTCTCCAGTAATAAAACTTTTCATCCCTTTTTATGTTATTAAAAAATGTGTAGACTATTCTTTGTGCCTAATTGAAGATTAAAAGTTTGAGAAAGGACCATGGTCATTAACCGGGCTACCCATTTCTGCAGATAGCCTGTTACAAATTGTGGAGAAAATTTAAATCAAAAGTTACAATTTTTGTCCGTTTTTGTCCGTTTTTGTCCGTTTGGCAGCTATATTTTCAAAACGGACAAAAATTAACGGACAAAAACGGACAAAAACGGACAAAAAATAACATGATCCCCCCCCATCAGTATTCCGACGGCAGTACGGCGGCAACACGGCGGCAGTACGGCGGCAGTACGGCGGCAGTCCTGCGGCAGTACGGCGGCAGTACGGCGGCAGTACGGCGGCAGTACGGCGGCAGTCCCGCGGCAGTACGGCGGCAGTATAGTGACAACACTTATATCAGAATTTTGATCCAATTATTCCATGATTTTGATGATTTGTTCACATTGATTTGTGAATTAAAAATATATTTCGAAAAATCAATAAGTTGTAAATAAGTTCATACAATATCATTATAACTTTAAATCAGTAACTGTCACCCTGGAGCAATAAAATATTAAAATAATTCAGATTCATTGCAAGTACTTCTGGTATCTTTTGTATTTCTCTGATCTGATTATCGTCAACATCTGAACACCTAAATCTTGAAGAATGGATTCCTCTCTCAGCTCTACTACATCATCCCCAAGTATCCCTAGTCCGTCTACTTTTCAGAAATCAAACTCAGAGATTGTAAAGATTGCAGGACGGAGGACTACACTCGACTACCTTGTGGAGAACTACAGCTGAACATATCCCTCTGCAGTTTACATCGAACGACACTACTGGCTAGTAGATCTCGTCCCCTCTCTCCTAGTCCTACCAAAGATCCTACTATCCTTCCTGGTGCCACTCAAGCTGTTATACCTTCTAGACGAGGAGGAGCTACTCCGCCAGATACTGATAATGCTCGCCTAGTAAGACCTGTGGTTACACCTACCCGACCCTCTTCCAGTTCCTCACCACCACCTAGTAGACGCCGTCTGAACTCTGATGAAACCTACTCCCGCTCCTCTGTAGCTGGCGAAGCCTTATCCTCCTACAACAGAGTGCACAGAGACTTTGCCAACCGTCCTGATACCTCCATCAGCCTCTCAAAGTTCCTGAAACAGAAACGAATCCCTGAAAGATCCTTCTACCGCAAGAAGAAGATAGCAGAGCTGATTATCCTTGATAGACCACGATTCGGCAGTCTCATCAAACAGATTCTCATGGAGGAGCGGACTGACAGGATCAACCAGCAGATTCTCTCTGACCGATGTGGGGCTATCCTCAAGCAGAGTGACTTTCTGGAGAAGAAACAACTCGCAATTGCTGCTGGAAAGATTCTCTAAATGTAAATTATTTTATTGCTCCAGGGTGACAGTTACTGATTTAAAGTTATAGTGATATTGTATGAACTTATTTATACAACTAATATTGATTTATCCAAATATATTAATTGACAAATCATTAAAATCGTCTCTTTAATTGACAAATCAATGTGAACTAATCATCAAACTCATGAAATAATTGGATCAAAAGTCTGATATAAGTGTTGTCACTATACTGCCGTGGCACTGCCGCCGTACTGCCGCCGTACTGCCGCGGGACTGCCGCCGTACTGCCGCCGTACTGCCGCCGTACTGCCGCGGGACTGCCGCCGTACTGCCGCGGGACTGCCGCCGTACTGCCGCCGTACTGCCGCCGTACTGCCGTCGGAATACTGATGTATGACCTTCTGTACATGTCATGTTTAATTCTTGGCAGTTCAGACATTTACATTAAAACGTACTCTACAACACTAGAATCAATCAAATTGGAAGTTGAACATCATGTACCTTGACACACACCGTTAACAAATCACGTATAACACAAAATTTCACATCTTTTTTTGGAACATGTAATGTTAGATCGGGTGTAAAGAAAGGTGTAATACGACTCTTCAAGCACCACCTAAAGTAAGCTTTATATTTAGCTCTATATAAAGATACCGCGAGATTGAATAACCGCTTTGACAAATCACCGGGCATGCTCTACGAAGTCAGTCAGATCGGAATTCGGGTGTATATTGCAGTTCCGGGGGATTGACTGCTTACCTGGGTCCTGGACGTGTGTATTAGGGAGTCGTTGGTATTGAGGGTAAGGGAGAATGTTGGAATAACAGTCTACACGGTCTGTGTATCGGGGTAATTGAAAAGCAAAGTTTGAATATTATTCATAATTCTGTGGTTTTATGAAATGTGTCAAATTGAATTCAGTCGGTGTAATAACATTGTTGTTACCCTGCGTTCGACTGAGCTTTATCAGACACATAACGGTGAGAACCGGAAACCACTTTCCTGCTGATTCCACTAGTGAAATTTACTAATGTGGAGCTTGAGGCTGATTTACCTGCCTCGGCAACCTTAAACTTAAAGTTATATGGCTCATGTCTCGACCTTGAGGAACTGTGTATGATTTACATGAGATCTTCTCGTAAACCTAAACCACACTTAGACTCTACTAGCGGCTACCTTAAGTAGTTATCTTCAACACAAACTTAAGAACGGCTTCTCAAATTTCCACGATCACTTAACCACACCACCTAATTTCCCAGAATTAGCCCTTCACACTTGACGACCTATTTCCCAGGCAACTGCGATAAAAGCGGGTAAAACTCCACCTCCATTCCTACCCGACAACTCCGATGCCCTGACTGAGGATAATATTGGGTTCAAGATGCTGCAGAAAGCTGGGTGGAAGGAAGGAACTGGACTGGGAGCTTCCAGTTCTGGGATAGTTCAGCCTATTGACAGGTAACTTTCTTTTAAAATATTATGTTAGAAAGCTACTTTTTTCAATACTTGAGATTATCTATTTTCGTGAGAGAACTTTTCAGGTTTTCTGAAGTTATTCCGTTCTGAACTGACGGCAATGAAATATTTCTAATTTCACATCTACCTCTGAGGGATGGTGCAAACCTGTCAGGGTAGGGGGTTTGGTTGGTAATCTGCACTAAGATACGGTCTTTCGAATATCAGTACCGAGTATAACTAGAATATAGCATTAATTACAGCAAGAATCCTAAGCTTGAGTACAACAAATCATACTGTCTGTCTTTTAAATGCATTTGAGATTTGGTGTTTCTCAATATCTGGCGTTCTCCTGGCTACCCTGCTGTTACACTATTAAACAGTTAAGTTGTTCATCTGAAAGTTACGCTCCGGTCGAGTTCGACCAAGTAAACTTTATGATATAACCAAAAAGGTATTTCAAAATCGAGTTGTAAATTTTCCTGGCAAGAACCTCTGTAAGTCGTAGGGAGATCCCAGACATGTTAATATAACTGATATATATTATATAGTATATATTGCAACCTATTAGCTTTTAAAGCGAGACTCAGTGATATAGATTATAGAAGGCAGCGTATTTGCCACGATTATCACACGTGAAAGCTATATAATATCGAGAAAACTGCTAAGTGCTTACGACAAGTATCAAAACTTCTAGATGGTGGTAACACGTGTAATGAAGCTCTAACGTCTAGACAAAAACTTGTGACACTTTCTTTAGTTTCAAGGTTTGTGAGTTAGGGTCATGCAGCTAGCCGCCCACTAGGTCTCAACAAATTGTCAAATATTTGTACCTGTTTGGCTAAATTATTCCGCCAGACATTAAGTACGTTTACACGGCCGGGTTTATTTTTGTTTAAGTTTCAAACATTTCTTTGAATTATCATACGATAAGTCGCTTGTTTTAACTTCAAATTATAAAACTTGGAAATAAACAAAAGCTTTAATAATTGCCCTACAGTGTTCCCGGAAGTGGGGAGGTGTTTAAAATACCTAGAGTCTAACTATGCCGAATATTCCCTCTGTTACAAAGCACCTAACCCGCTGTCAAACTTGTAATTTTACAGAGCTCTGTGTTATGGAATGTGACTTGTGAGAGACGTTTTTTGCCCATAAATAGACTTCCAGCTTGGCCTACCCTGCTCCTAGGACCAAAGCTGATAAAGAATCCCAATAAATCAATTTGTTAATGAAAATGTCCTAGGAATGTACATCATTCCTTGACTGATTCCTGAAACATTATAAATTCATGGGAAGGACTGAGGCTAATTTCGTCGTCTTCACTAAGTTAATCTTCTTTAATTATAATCTCATGTGTACAGTGTAAAAGCAAGATGACATGCAATACAAAGTCATTACAGTTAACCCCAAAATGTAGACTTCCGGGTTAAACCCATCACAGACATATAAGAGAACCCTTCAAGCTGAATGTCATACATTTAGAGAAATTTTGCGAAGAAATTAGTCGGTTTCAGGCGTTGGAGATGTTGACATTAATTGAAATATAAGTGGTCTTGACAACGTGCCAGTATATATCCTATGTGCATTGAATTGTGCAAGCATCCTTTATATGCTGCACGGTACCTGTGGTGTCCACTACTAAACGGTCAATAGGACCGAGCAGTAAATATTGTAAACACTACGTAATGTCGTGAATAAGACAATATCCGATAGGTGACATTTGATGAGCAAGTGAAGGCATGATAAAATTACTCTGAATTATAGGAGTAGTTGCGTTTTGTCCGGATTCGCAGTAAAACGGTCCGTCCCAGACGCGCCAACGTAACTTTCGCGAATGTTCCCGAATGTAATACGGTCACCGGAGTGTCCTCTCTGCATATTAAATATTGAGGATTTCATTGATATACCCGACGTGTATAATATAATATAAACTGTCGCCAGTATAATATGATATTATACCGTGTGCACTGTACGGTCACTTTAGCACTCACACCCCTAAGTCAGGGCAATATCACTTTCTTAGATTGCAATACTTTTCAATATTGTTGTTAATCAAGGTCACTAATGGACAGGTAGAGTCGCCGTCCACCTTGCCCAGTCGATGGAGCGTGTAATAGTGCAAGAAAAATAGAAAAATAGCACTAATGCAACTTGAATGTCCATTTAGGTCACCAAGAACTAAAGAAAGTATTCCGAGAAATATATTGACGTGTTCATTGATTTTAAAGCGGCATACGTTTTATGGTTACTTTCAGTACCACCAGAATGTCGTCATTTGGTAATGGGGTCGTTTATGGACGAGCTACTTTATCCGTAAAAAGGCTTGAAGACAAAGACGCGGAAACATCACCTAACGTAACGCGCGAATGACAAATTTGTATTAAAATCTGAGGCGCCATACCATCAAGCGTGACAGGAACTCGCGTGTATTGCATGCGCTCGATCGAGTCAATGCATGCGTGCGCGCAGATGAAGGCTTATGGCTATGCATGCCATAAGTAGTGGATGACCTTGCTGTACGGCAAGTTAAACAAGGATCTGAAACTACTAGGTTCCGTACAGACTCAACTCTGCACCCGTGTCAATATGTTCATTATATGCAAGCCTCTTGATTTATATATAATGAAGCTGGGAAAAGTCTGAATTTTTCAGGTATCCGCCTGTACGTGACAGGTCACATGTGACACGTTGATCAATTGCAGCTTCAGTAATTTCTTGCTCTCAACGGATACATAAAATTGAACATTAGCTCACCCTTTGCATTGTGTCCTTTGAAATTGACCTCTGCTGCACGATAGTTGATACTAAGTGTTGAAAAGAGGGCATGTTTTCACCGAAGGTGTTGTATTTTTGTAGCAACAATAAAGATATGTAGCAACACTTCAGCTGCGTGAAGTCTTGCCAGAAGGAGTAGAAAAGCAGTCAAACCCGACATAATGAAAAATTAAACGATTGTTTATTTTTTACTTTACAATTAAACAATGTCAATATTCTAATCATGCAAGTGGTGACAAGCTCACTGCTTGATATGTCTATCCAAACGAAATATAATTCTGAAATCAAATGAAACATTAAAACACTGATAGAATGTCTATTGCATTATACCTAATATAATTTAGAAGTATTATAATTGCTAGTGATATGAATAGTGATGATCTGATCATTTACATGTCCGTTTTGGTGACTGCATACCTAACCCCAACTTTGAATTTTCTCTATTATAACTATAAACAAGTTCTTTAACTTGTTTATGATTTCGGGGCTTTTCCGTTTTCTACTGTCCACCCTTTGTCCGGTTTAACCTTCACAACTCCAAGAAATACCAAAACCCCAAATCAGTACATGATTTTATCCTGGTCGCTGGACCACGTTTCAAACACCTTCAAAGCTGTCACTCTGGCCACTTGTTTAAACGGAATCAGTCTGTTATCATGCACACCCTGCTTGATCTCTTCATATATGATGCTATCGTCGAAACCTACTTCAGCTGCATCGCTCCTCTCAGCTCCGTAGTACACTGTTTTAACCCGTGACCAGTAGATCGCTCCAAAACACATGGGGCACGGTTCGCACGTTGTGTAGAGGTCACAGTCCGTTAATATAAAGGTATCTGAAATCAGTATTGTGAGTACCGTTATACAATCGTTAATTGTAATCAGCAAAACTTTTTACAGCTCAATAGATTTGGAGTCTGGTGGAGAGGCGAGGCGTATTGTTAACACGTGGCAGAAATTGACCAATCAGCTTTGACTATTGACCGTTAATCACGTATCAAAAACATACCTCACCTCTCCACCAGAATTCACATCTATAGGGATAAATACTGGTCCTACAAATACGTACTTAATTTTTTACAAGCGTCTCTGATGGCCAGGACCTCAGCATGAGCGGTCGGGTCATTAGTAGATGTTACCATGTTATGTCCTTTCCCCACTACTTTACCGTTCTTCACAATAACACACCCAAAGGGCCCTCCGTTCTTCTGTAGACCCTCCAGCGCTTCCTCCACTGCTTTGTTCATGTTGCTTTGTTGTGCCATTGGTGATCTAGAAGGGAGATTTGTCTGCTCTCAAAGTATTATACGTTTGGAAATTTATCCAAAATGAAACAACGGCAACTACTCGAAAATCAAAATGCGAACTCCATCGATCAGCTCAACTTATATCTTCCTGACACTTTCGCATATCCTTATTACTTATATACCCTAATATGTTTCATAACGGTAACAGAAAAGACTGTCCGAAAGCTTTTACCATATTGATCTCGATGGTGAGCACTGAGCGTGTCGGATTGGCAGCATTCACGACGAATGGGAAGAGTGATATCTTCAAAAACTTTGTTATTGGTGATAGGATACCTATCAGTATCATCGAGCTTTTCAGCTAGCTAGGGTACAGAGGAAACTGGTAGGTGTGGTAATATTTTGTAAATAGTGCGATTCCACACCTGCTTAAAACTCTTATATGTGCAGCAAACTTTGAGACAGAAAACACCGCAATTAAGCTTAACAATTCGCCACTTTGTAGCCTTTAAGCTTTTAAGTACCCTCAGGTTGGATTATTCAACAGCCTAGTATATAACGTTGCCTAACACGATTTCGATTGTTGTGTTTAACACGATATAAAATGTGTGATATATACATATATGAAGTTCAACAATTAATCTAACAATAAAGATGAAGAGCCTGAAAAATGAAAACATGTTACAGATATAGACGGTAAATATAACGGTACACTTGCGGATGTTCAAAGTACCTACAATACAAAAGAGAGAGCTGGAAGAAGAGAAATATAGGTGGAACTGCTTGCTACATCTATTATTAATCCTCAATCCACATAGTGTGATGTTGGTTTACATAGCTTAGTTGAGGAAGGTGCTATCAGGATCTTGAGAACTACTCTAGACTGAAGAGGCAACTCCATTTGATTCTTGAAGTAATACACGAGTTATGTCGGTGACTCGTAAAACATGAGCCAGTTAAATTGTATGAATGGCGCTTTTAAGAAATCATAGCGTATTTGTTTTAAGGGTGTACGACGTATAAATCACGTAACATTCATCTCCCCCGACAACAATCAACAAAACAATCAACAAAATTGTCCAAATCTCGGTTCGTGATTTGCGTAAGTGATTTCATTAAGTACAGTACAGCTCTAGAGCCCATACCTTACACAAATTTAAACTAATCACTAAAATAAAGTCTACTGGGGGGGGGGGGGACCTCAGGCTATCATGTTCATTAACATATATATTCCGCCAAATAGAGATTAGAGATTCGGCGGAATGACAGGCTGAGCGCGGCCCAGTAAGATATGAGCCGAAAATATTATTTGGTTTTTCGAATTCCTCACCCTCGAGTCCAAAATCGTATATCGAAGGATAGGTGCGGACTTCGAAAATCGAAAAAATATTTTCGGCTAATCAAGAAATCGTAAAAAACGAGGTCCAAGATTTTCAAAATTGAGTAGCAAATTTTTAAAAGCCTATCTCAAAATTTTGCATGAGCGATAAATAGTCCCTAGAACATATCCTGAAAGTTTTAGGGTGATCGCTCAAAAAATGTAGGAGAAGTTAGATTTTTAGACTCGATTTTCAGAACTCTCGATTTTCAGAACTCTCGATTGAAAATCGCTGGTGCAATACAATTACACATAAGCGCTGACCTTAGACCGGCGATAATTTCGGCTAGGAACAAAATTTTTCCATGTGACCAAAAGCAACTGGTAGATATCACTCCCCTCTATCAGAAACAACGGGGGCCATACAACGGTCATTAATGTGCATTAATGGGCATAAATGGGCATTAATGTATATGTATATTTCAGCAAAATTCTATAATACTGACATTAATGACCAGGTTGTTTTTGCAAATTTTGTAGTAGTTCGTGGTCATTTATGTGCATTAATGGGGCATAAATGGGCATTAATGTGCATTAATGTATTATATGTATATTTCTATAAAATTAACATATACATAAAATTCTATAATACTGACATTAATGACCAGGTTTTTTTGCAAATTTTGTAGTAGTTCGTGGTCATTTATGTGCATTAATGGGCATAAATGGGCATTAATGTGCATTAAGGGGCAGGGGGGGGGGGGGTCTTTATGAAATTTCTCTCGAAATTGATTTTATAGTTGTTTCTGATAGAGGGGAGTGATATCTACCAGATGTTTTTGGTCCCATGGAAAAATTTTGTTCCTAGCCGAAATTATTGCCGGTCAAAGGTCAGCGCTCGTGTGTAATTGTATTGCGCGAACGATTTTCAATCGCGCGCCCTGAAAATCGAGTCTTAAAATCTATCTTCTCCTACATTTTTTGAGCATAGGGGCGTTTTCGGCCACACCCTTTTTCAGGGTTTCACGGTCACTCGAATTGTTGTATTTCAGCCCAGGAACATAGTAGATACTATTCCGATACACCAAAATGTGCCTAATAGCACCTTAAAATGCTTATTTTCGGAAATATGGCCGAAAAACGGTTTTTAGCCCGACGCAGTTCATAATTTCCGTGATTTTTGGCACTTCCGCCTAGTAGAGACTATTTCGATATACAAAGCTATGTTGCTCATGACTGAGTATTGTCATTGTTTGCTCGGCAAAAATCCGTTTTTTCACAAAAAGCTAACGAGTTTCCCTTTCGTCTCGGACTAGTAGCCTGGTATATCTATTATCTGGTATTTCTCCATAGAAAAGTCTCCGATTTATGCCATTTTATGCCATTGCCCCTCCCCCCCCCCCCAGTCTACTGTCCAGGATTTGATTTGTTTGGGGTCGGCTGATTACGTAATTTGTGAACGCCCCAAATTCTACAAAAATTCATTTACCGCGGCTGTTTTCTTTCCTGTAGCTTGATGAGGTCTCTGTCTATCGTATGTTCAATCACTACAGTAGTGTAACACTACTGAGCTGTAGTGTAACACTACTGTAGTGTAACGCACCACCTTGTTAATACTATGCTCGCACAAACAAGACCCTCCCCTGGTGTAACGTCATGACTGGAAATTAAGTGGAAGTAAAATAGTCAACTAGAAAGTAACATAAGGTCCCGGCGAATACCCAAAGAGTTCAATTAATGGGGATCTCAGTTTAGCACTATAGGTCGGGACTGGTTAGTTGATTAAAATTCCTAATTAAATATGGGGAGAGGTAATTTTAGTTAGCTTAGAAATAATAGGTCGAGATATTTACATAACTAAACTATTTGTGTTTTCCAGGGGAATGATAAAACCTGGGAACGCTGGACTTGGAGCCACAAAGCCGGATGAGCCTCTGCCCGGTGACGACGAATTTGATGTTTACAGGAAGAGGATGATGCTCGCCTACAAATACCGCCCCAACCCCATGGTATGTACGGAATTTGACGATAGTAGGAATCTTCGCTCATTTAGGATTTGACTTGCAATTAAAGCAAAATATATAGCCTGCAATCTACAATGTATATACTTATAATTATATAGACACAGCACGCAAACGTATCCATTTCAGATGGACCCCGCGGGCCCGAGGTGTATATCTTTGTGTAAACACGCAGCGAGTGTTTACACTCAAATAGATAGTTTATGAGAAGTGTATATGAATTATAAATGAGAGTATTTTTCAGTCACGTGACAACCCGGGTCACCCCGCTAATTCTCACTCAAAAACCCGGACGAATCTATATTGAAATGTACATCAAGCAAAAAAGTGTATTTGTTAGCCATACCAATTACCAGAGGAAAAACAAAACTGAGCTAAAAACGCAGTATCATGATACTTATCTGCTTCACAGTGCTGTGTAATCGCGTGATCTGCACTATAAGTGAACTACTCACGAAATTATTTTATATCTACATTCCAATCTAATGAGAATCCTCCACAAGTTATTCTCGATCGCTATTATCGAAGGATATTTGTTGCTCTAAAGAACATTAAGTATGAGAATTTTTGCATTTCACTTTGCAAAACATGATGGCATCGGAGTTTCTACATTTTCTTGATCTTTACGATCTTTAGCGATTTACCGGATTCCCGAATTTATCTCATTTCAATTATAGAGTTGGTCACTCCATACTCCATAGGGAGTGCAAAATGACAATGAAATGGTCACATTATGGTAAGAAGGTATATATACCAGATTGACCGCCTAACTAAATGCTATTTATAAGCCAGATAATCCAATAAACTCTTAAAATTGGCTTATAAATGGTAAACACTCGCTATAGTAGCTGTCACTTACTTGTTCTGATATCTTATCGTTTTACAACAAAAAACCCTCTAATTTCAATAATTTCAGAAAAACCCACGACGAGCGTACTACTAAACCAGTTGGCAGGAAAAGAAGATCGTCTCGACTTAAACGATCAAAGTTGTCGAGCATAGTGCATAGTGCATAATGCATAGTGCATAGTGCATAGTGCATAATGCATAATGCATAATGCATAGTGCATAGTGCATAGTGCATAGTGCACAATGTAACCTCAGACTCTCGAGTTAACAACTCGTATATTTATTATTGTGTAAATTGTGTGGTGTATCTTTATAAGTGAAATTGTTTAAACGGTGTGTGGATAAATAGTTCCGGTTAATGGTCATGGTATATTTGATATTGATTATCGTGATTTTGGGTTGAATATGGTTTTAAAATGAGGAGTGTGATTTTCTTCCATTTGTTTAAACTTAACTTTAAGAATATGTGTTTTCGTAAACAAAAGAAATGTTAATGGAAAAATCCACACTACGGAAATTAAATTCCGGTGACAGTCAGCTGTCAGACTCTGTGGTATTTCCATTAACTTTCTGGATGTTTTAATCTATTTATGAGATACGAGCTTAATTCCCTTGATATTCTCTGTGGAGCTTTTTTCCCTTAAAACTGATTAGTGAGGCTTGAGCTTGTTACACTTTGTGATAGTGTCAATAAAGTTAGTTTATCGACAAATTATATGAGATAGATAAGTTCAGGAGCGTAGCTGTAAACGTTTAAGGAGCACTAAAGTTGTCTAATTCAGTTTAATTCGAGCTGTTTTGAACCATAATAGTAACACGTGCCATGGTATATTGATTGCTGGGGAAATTTATCGAGCAGTATATTATGGTATATATGGGGCTTGCTTTTGATAGGTTTAGTTAGTGATATTTATTAGCAGTCTAGTACTAAAAGTGTCGTGGCTCGGTGAATTGCAGTCGCTGTGCGCGCGGTCACTTCTCATGGGCGCGGTTTTGAGCGATATTGGATATGATTTTTTGGTTTCGCCTGTGTTTAAGATTGAGGAAGCTTACAATGCAATCTATTTCTTGTGTCGTGATCCCAATGGAAATATTCTAAGTGGTAGCGTCTGCTCATCTATTTATAAGTACTTAAAAACTGTTTAAGTTACGCGTTAAGTATATTCTCGGGTTGATTTTAGATGATACGTGCAGTGTGTGTTTAACGTTTATATTAGACTATTCCATGAAAACTGTTAAGAGTCTAAATGTTTGGTTTTGTGTGTCTGCAGACCGGACCAAGAGTTTTCAAATGTGTATTTGAAAGATCAGATTCTTCAACTCTAAAGATTCGAAACGGCAATATAATCACAATGTGCAAAGTGCCCAACTCTTATTCGATGAATATTTTTGCTGAAAAGTTAATGTATATATTGCCAGTTGGTATTATAAATTTAGGTGATGTTGTAATACTATTACTAATAGCTTTAACAATTATCTTGTGAATACTGCTTCTTGATAAGTCTATTTCTATATTAATATGTATAAAGCGAGACGATATATGTATACAGGGGGGGGGGGGGGCGGCAGGGGTGTAGGAATGATTTTCTTCATGAGGGGGCCAAAATCTTAGAGTTTTTCAAATTTAACACGCGCTTTGGCCACAGTCTGAATTTCAAAAACAGCAAAACATGTAAAAGGCCTAGCTGAGCAATTTGGCAATCATTTTCAAACATAGTTTCAAGAACGATTAAAATAATACGATTTTAAATGCATATTAATTATTAGGGCCTGCAAGCAGCTCTTGCGAAATAAGTGTAGTTCGAAAAAGGGATGCATATTGCATTCTCTCGAAAAGAATTTCAGGAAATTTGCTCCCAGAATTGAAATCTAGCAATGTGAAATGATAAATCCAGAAAGATTTTATTGTGCCTATTTAATTAATTTAAGGGTCAAAGGAAAAGTCCTGCAAATTTTGAAAAATATTCTTACAGTAATATGTCTCACTCTCTAAGAGGGTACAACATGCAAGAAGGGAGAAACTGGAACAATTCTTGGAAAATTTGTTTTAAGGAATGAATTCTATCAATGAGTTAATGTAAATTTGGACTACAAGGGGCAAACTGTGTCCTGCTAATTTACTCCCACGGCATAAAAAAGTAATCAGTAATGTTATCCGAATTTTATCCTCGCTAGGCTTCTAAACTTCTGATGAATCCTGACATGTAATATGTTTTGTTTAAAGACCTTTAATTCACACACCAAAACTTTAAATTTTATCAAATTACAAATGTCCTAATATATACGTCTCTTATTAAGTTAAAAAGTCAGGGGTGCAGCTGTTGTACTTCAATTAAAATGATTGATCGCGCCGGATCGCGATGTTATTTTATCAAAATCAGCTACCCGTTTAGTATCCACTTGGTGGCCTAGTGGTTAGAGCATCCGCCTTCCGAAGGTTCAGGGTTCGAATCCCAGTGTCACCTAGACTAGGGGGTAGCTAAGAATCCATTGAATCTATGCGATCTCCTCGGTCGACTCAGCCGAATGATAGGAAACTTAACTGAGGGTTTAAAAATGAGGAGGGGTACCTGTTATAAAATTCTGCAAAGCAACAACTCTCCAATATAAATGATAAAACACGGCGAATATAAAACAGCGACCGTCGACCTTACTCTTAGCAGACTTGAGATCACATATTCCGATATTCCTATTGCCTGCCCAATAAATCACTTAAATCACGGGATATTAAAATTATCTGGGAACTGATCTTCCATATGCTCCTGTGTGCAGGAAAGTTGCGCTCCCACTGTACTGGCACCAGGAGGTGACCGGGATTGGCAATTTTGAGCTATCCCGGTCCCGGTCAAGTCACAGTTTTCATCCCGGTCCCGGTCAAATGCTGATTTATGATCCCGGTCCCGGTTAATTCAGGATTCCCGGTCCCGGTCAATCACTCAAATTTGCCGGGATTTTGACCGGGATCTTTTACATAATTTCATTCACTGTGATTTTAAGTTTTTACTTTCATTCATTGTGAATTTCATCTTTAAACAACCTCTGAGCCAAATAAAACAATGTTTAAAATTGCTAAACAAGTTTGAGTAATAAATTATGATCATGAATTAAGTATAATTGTCAATTGGAATTGGAGAATGAAACTGTTGAATAATTTGAGGGATCATTGATTGAGGAATGAGGAATGAGGGTGAACTTGAGTAATCAGTACATGAACATTATTGGTGTAGTACATTAGGCCCATACCCCATATTGACGGGTTTTTTCTAGTTTTTTCAAATTTAATATTCTAGTTATTACTTATTCAAATTGTTCAATTATATAATGTAAATGAAAGTTGCAGCTTTCAATATGAGAATACCAGTTTTGGTCCCGGTCAAATCCCGGTCATCCCGGTCAAATTGGATTGTTGGTCCCGGTCCCGGTAAGATGGAAATTATTGGTCCCGGTCCCGGTAAATTGATAATCTCAGTCCCGGTCCCGGTCAGGCCTGAAATCATGTCCCGGTCACCTCCTGACTGGCACTAAATCGCTCGCCCAACTTTTAAGTATTTTCTTTTGAAGAGGCCCTGAGGGTATAGTAGGTAAGTGATTTAATTCGGGGTACTTTTTGGACGCTGATTCCGAATCCCCGCCATTACGTAGGGTAAAAATTCTTCCTTGGAAAGTTATGGACAAAAAACTGTTATGGCCACGTGGCTAGTAAAACACGAATTCGATTGTTTAGGGCTCGGGTTAGGGTTGTTGTTAGGTTTATGGATAGCTTCGGAGTTATGGTTAGGGTTGGGATTAGGGTCTATGTAAAACCATTTTCTTCGGCTGGAAAACCAAAATCACGTGATAATTTTTGGGCAATCGAATTATAAGTAAGAGCCGGAAAGTTGTGAGCAGAATCGACGACACATTCCTTTCCTACATTTCCTTTGGATTTCCTGATCAGTGATCTAAGAACACCTACAGGAAGTTAAATGTTCCCTTCGATAATCCAGACCAATGAATCAAATACTGCGACTGCAAGTGCATACGTAGTAAAATTGGGTCGATCGAGTTTATGGTTTATAAATCCTAAACCTCGGCGGCGTTTATTGGTCTTACCTTACTCGAGAATATTATAGCGGGTTAATTTATGACTGGGAAAATTAATAACCGGGAAAAATATGGCGGAATTTCCCAAAACCCGCCAAATTATCCCGGTCATGTATTTACCGGTGGCCGACCGTTCAAGTTTTTTTTCAGAGGTCAACAAATTTTCAACCGAAATTTCTGTTTTTGTTACTTGTTAAAGAAGTTATTTCAATTTACAGTTACTGATATTACTCAGAAATAGAAAATTAAAGACACGTCTAGTATTTAAAGGAAAATAAATCTATAGCAATAATAAGTCAAATCTTCATTAAAGCGTATTCTCATTCTCATTATCGCTAATGTCCCCTCCATTATCATTATTGATATCCCCCTGCTGCTGACCGTCAAATTCGAAGTTGTATTGTTGTCTTAACAAGACTTTCATTTTGTCCGCTAATGGGGCTACTGCTCTGAAGGTCAGCCGGAGCTTAATTTCCTGCCCACCGCTTGGTATTGGCAATTGGGGGGGGGGGGGCCAATGGCATAAATGGAGAAAATGGAGAATTACTCATGGGTTTTTCCATTTTCTCCATAGAAATAGTCTCCATTTTATGCCATTTTATGCCATTTTATGCCATGGAAAACCTGAAAAATTTAGAATTTCGAGAAAAATTATTTTAAAAAAAAGATATTTTCGTAATAATGAACAGAGTATCATGAAACATGGAGAAAAGTGGTTTTCAGAAAAACTTTGAAAAATGTTGACTTAGAAAATGTTCGGTCCGAGTCATTTTCGATACGTACCTCCCGTATCGAGAGCTCCCGATTCCGAGCTCGTGTTGCAAAGGGGAGGCCTGCCTTCCGTGATCGCATTACTTCGAGTCCAAAATTGTGTATCGAGGGGAAGGTGTGGACTTCGAAAAACCGAAAAAAATATTTTCGGCCAATAATGAACAGAGTATCATGAAACATGGAGAAAAGTGGTTTTCAGAAAAACTTTGAAAAATGTTGACTTAGAAAATGTTCGGTCCGAGTCATTTTCGATACGTACCTCCCGTATCGAGAGCTCCCGATTCCGAGCTCGTGTTGCAAAGGGGAGGCCTGCCTTCCGAGATCGCATTACCTCGAGTCCAAAATTGTGTATCGAGGGGAAGGTGTGGACTTCGAAAAACCGAAAAAATATTTTCGGCAAATAATGAACAGAGTAGCATGAAACGTGGAAAAAAGCGGTTTTCAGAAAAAATTTGAAAAATTTTGACCGAAAAATATTTTCGGCTTATAATGAACAAGGTAGCATGAAACGTGGAGAAAAGTGTTTTTCAGAAAAACTGAAAAATTTTGACTTAGAAAATTACCCCTCGCTCGGTACACAATTTTGGACTCGAGGCTTCCCCCTGGTAATGCGATCTCGGAAGGCAGGCCTCCCCTTTGCAACACGAGCTCGGAATCGGGAGCTCTCGATACGAGAGGTACGTATCGAGAATGACTCGGGCCGAAAATTTTCTAAGTCAAAATTTTTCAAAGTTTTTCTCAAAACCACTTTTCTCCACGTTTCATGCTACCCTCTTCATTATAAGCCGAAAATATTTTTTTGGTTTTTCGGTTTATCGAAGTCTGCACCTACCCCTCGATACACAAATTTGGACTCGAGGCTTCCCCCTGGTAATGCGATCTCGGAAGACAGGGCTCCCCTTTGCAGTGCGAGCTTGTTTCGACTGTCGAGGATGTAGGTCTCACTTCTCAGTGCCTATTACTCTCCCCTATTACTCCTGCTGTAGTATATAGCCTGTAGAAATAACTTTACACTAGGCTTGAGTAATTATGAGTTTGCCTGAAGTGTGCCTCTACCAACCTAGTATAAGCATCTAGTAGCCTACTATGAGCTTTCATAAGCTTGTTACGCCCCTAGTAAGCGTAAATAAACATGTTAGGATGTCCAATTTAGGTGTCAAATGGTGTTAAAGATGAAATTTCGAAGACAAAATTCATGGCATAAAATGGAGAAAATGGAGAATTACTCATGGGTTTTTCCATTTTCTCCATAGAAAAAGTCTCCATTTTATGCCATTTTATGCCATTTTATGCCATTGGCCCCCCCCCCCCCCCGCAATTGGGGAACGTCTTGGCTTTGCATCTTCAACTGCTCCAGTAATCAATCCACCGTGGACCATGAAATAGTGGCACAGTTTACTCACTTCATGGGCAAGAAAAGTGAGAATCACGGTCCACCCTGAAATCTGATTTCCATAACCAAATTGTGATTTTTATAACGAAATTATGGTAGCAACCGCCAATAAAGTTACAGCCCTCCATCCACTGCTTCAAAAGTCTTCTCTAGCACATATGAGACTTCAGGTAAAATATGATGATCACCACCCCCTTGGAACCCCATAATCTGAGTCGGCGGGTTT